AGAAGGAGAAGGAGAAGGAGAAGGAGAAGGAGAAGGAGGAGGAGGAGGAGGAGAAGGAGAAGAAGAAAAATAAGAAAGTCTGAGCTTCAGAGAATCCTAAACCTTTGCAATCTATGCTCAGTCTTTTTCGCAGGTCATCCGAAACGTGGCCAAAAACGCCGCGTCCATGTGGACTTCGATAAAGCCAAGGTCCAGCATGTTGTCAGGGACATGGAGAAGGCGTGCTGAGCTGCGGAGGATGGGACTCAACCTTAGCAAATTATTTCAGGGGTAGGGTTACTTACCTGAAATAACATAGGTACCCCACGTGGTGTCGGGAGTCAAATAGATTTTCTGACGATTTGCTTCTTTAGGGAGCTTATATGGAGAGCCATTGAGCGATATTGACTGCTTGTAGTTATTGCAGAAGTACCCCACCACGATCCAACGCATGCAATTGTTTGGTATTAGGAGTCAGTAGATTGCAAAAAAAACACACACTATTAAACCATATTTGGTGTGTACACCACTGCTTTGTGAAATTATTTCACAGGTTGGGAAGGTTTTGGCATCCCTTGCAATGTTTCAGCATCTATGTCTCCCTACCCTACCTAAAGGTTCTTCCCAAATAATTATCATTCCCCAGAGCCGAAATTCCGAGCATGTCTAGATTTGCAAAATAACGATGTGCCGTGGTAGGTAAAGGACCTCAATTTTTTAAAAACATATTTCAGGGGTAGTGCCACCTACGTACCCATAGAGACGCTTTCCCAGCCATTTGGCTGTGTGAAAACAGACCAGCGAAAAGAACTCAAACTGATTGGGCCGTGTTCCATCAGCAAGTTGCAGCATTTTTGTCCCATGTCACAACGGATGTCTTCACAGCCAAAGGTTGGTGTCATGGAGAATGTGAATGGCTGGGTGAGCGTGGCAATGGCCAGCTGCCCAGTTTGGGACGCCTCACCTTGTGAGTCATGTTGGTCCCATGGGAACCGCGGACTCCACAACGGGAAACAGTATAACCGGTGTCGACCTAGGAAATGAATTTGCAAGATATGAACCTCTTTGACCATGTGCGCTCCTAGGTCAAAAGCACAAGACACGGGAGGTCGATGATTGTGAGTTGCCAAGGAGTTACACTTGCCGTTCCATCCGTTTTAAGTTTCTGAGGTGGTGTATGCCATGTGTCCCCCCGGCAACTGACATCTACGTGGAACCTTCAGGCTGCACCTCTATACATCTCATTTTCCATGGCCACTGCCATGACTTGAGTGGTTTCGGTGCCAGTTTTGTCCTGTTTTTTGGGTGAGGTGATCAGGTGGACTCCCGTCCCACCTCCTGTCAACTCATGAGTTTCATTTTTTTGCAGTGATGTTCTGAGGTAATCCTGACGATGACCAGAACTGTGTTCTGTCAGAGAAGGCGAAGAAGAAGCCTGCGGCTGAGAACAATCCCAACCCATGGCAGCGAAAGGAGCCTTGAACTGCAGCGGAGGAGTTGGTCGGCTACAAAACTGGCTTGCTTGGTCTGCAGAAAACACACTTCTTCTGCTTTGCCTTTGAGAACTCGCAGGTGGCCATTTGAAAGATGGATATTCCGCCGCCCGATGCTCCCATCCAAACTTGCCACGGACCATGGTGGGAATTGGACATCCATGGGTTGGAGTAAGCCCCTAAGGGATCGGGTGCCTTGCCGCTAGCAGCTACACCAAAGGATCGGTTCGCACACCTGAGGACCTTAAGGAGTCGTCCATGCACCAATGCCAGCAGGTGAGAGCCTGAGGCAAAAGCGTGTCAAAGAAGCGAATCGGCTTCTCAAGGGCTTTTGGGCCACCAAGCTGTGAGAAGCTGCAAGCATTGATTTCCTTTTTTTTAGATTATTCAGTTGATTGTTTTTATTTTTATTTTTAAATCAGTTTCCTTTCCTTCCGTTTGCGAGACACTTCAGCGAATTCTCAGATGTCTTTTTTTGTTGCCCCAATTCTTTGTGTACGCATGTGCAGACACATTGCAAGACAAATGGCCTTGGACTCTTGAATCTTGAAAGAAACCCGTCACCGATAAACCATGTGGTTGAATATTAGCTCCATGGGACACAACATCATCATTTTTACTTGCTGAAAATTGCTGAAATGACATTTGCTTTTGCAGATCCCAGTCCTCCGAAACTTCTTGAGTCTGCGTCTTAGGATGCTCTCTTAGCCGGTGAGCCCCCTTTTTTGCCACAACCAGGTCTGGGTGCGGCGGCTGACCAATGGGCAGGTGGCCCTGGTTGCAGTGAACTTTGCCTCCAAGGCCGGCGCCATGTTGCATTTCTTTTTGCGAAAGTTCTCTTTCAGGAATTGCCTCCAACCTAATAGCAATGGCCTCCAACCATAGCAATGGCTTCCAACCTAATAGCAATGGCCTCCACCTAATAGCAATGGCCTCCAACTTAATAGCAACTAGCAATGGCCTCCAACCTAAGAGCAATGGCCTCTAACTAGATCAGATCCACTGGGCGGGTGGTGGTGCGGTGAGTTGTACGCGGCGTTCTTCTTTTTTTTGCACGGCTGAGTTGTGAGTTGTGAGTTGTGACTTCGATTGGGCACATTCGTGTTCTATTTGATCTGTTGGAACTTGGGAACCATTGGAGTAGGCTCACAACCAGAAGAAGGGAAGGACCCAACGGACAATGGAAAGACTCCCAAAGATTTGGGTCTCCCGCCAATGAGTTGTGGTCTATTTCCCTTCTTTCATGGTGTCAAACGGGGGGGTCGAAGACGAATACGACTACACACCCAATTTGATCATGGTATCAGTCACTCCAGTTGACTTTCGTTCGCAACTGGTAGTACCCTCGGTTCAGGCAGCCACCGTGGATTTGCCCCTCTCGCAGCTGCGTTTGCCCTGGGGTGATGAGACACCAGCACCTCGCTTGGAGAGGTTTGCCGTGTTGGAGTTGGAGGATGTAGATTTTTTCGGCGAATTCAAGAACCCTTAATAGATTGTAAGTGTAAGGTTCTTGCAACATTGGGAACAGCACGCATTTGAGGAGAAACATCTTGTCGCTGGATCAGCCGCTCTAGTTGACCATGGGTCTAACTGCAGCTGGGGATGTTGGGATGTTGCGCAAGCTGATCCCTGCCCTTTTTGCAGAGACATGGTGCAACTGAGCCAATCCCACTGCGCTGTAGGGGCTTGCCTCTACGACCCCAAGTGGAGTCATACCAGGCGGCAAGAGGTCTTTGCCAGATGCTTTGCCACCTAGCCTTCAGCAATGATGTACAGGTAGATGACCAACACGCGTAGGGTTGGTGTAGGTTGGTCGCCAGGGGAACACCCACTGATCAACCACCAGCTTCCGCGCAGCTCTCACCCGGATTCCCTGCCATCGCTGCGGTTCGCACATCCCGAGTCCATCCTTTGGGACGTGTGGCACGTGGCGAAAGCTCCAGAGCAAGTTCACGGACACTTGAAGTTGGCTCCTTGAGATGAGACGGGAAGTCTTGGGATGTGTTCTTCTGGTTTTCCAACGGACACGTTCGACGTCTTGATTCGGCCGGAAGACTCGGAGCGAGCCCAGACCGGCGATCTCGCCATAACAACCCTTCGCCTTCAAAGCTGTGGAGCTCGTGGAGAATAAAACCACTCAAAAGAGTGCTTTTTTTGGTCGCTGTTCTGGGGATCAGAGGAATTTGCCCGTTAATTTCTTCTAGGGTCTCCAGGTTCCTGTTTCTGGTGTCGAACTTCCATGGACTTTTGACTTCAAGTACGGGATTTAGAGACCATCGCCTGGGCAGCTGGTTCCTTGTTTGGTGGTGGCGTTAGGGCCTTCTCTATTTCCTATGGCTCTAGAGGTGGAGAGGGCACAGACAAATCATTTCATAATTCCGGGGAAATGCCACACGCCACGACGCTGTCCCCTCATTCTGTGCTGTTGTGGCTGTTCTCCCCGACTTTGGACTTGTCCTTTTCCTGTCAGATATTGATCGGAACTTGTGTCACTAAGGCCTTGGAAGCCGATGGAGGTCATTACATGCTGAAGCTGGAGCAAAAGAGTACTCAGGAGGAGCAGTCCGGCAGTTCCCTTTTATTCCCTTCAAGCAAACAAGACTCAAACTTGGCCAAGTGGCCAAGCGGTGTGGTACAGCAACTTTTGCAGCCTTTGCCGTGGGAGCTAGCGAAGGTTAGGGGTCTTCAAGCAAGTTCTGGGGAAGGTTCTGCAGCAAATTCTGGGAACAAATAGCTCAGCGGGTTGAGGAGCAGGTTCCAGAAGAGGTTCCGGAACGTTCTGGAAGAAGTTTTAGAGGAGGTTCCAGAGCGAAAGCTTGGCAGCAAGTTTGCAGATATGCTGACATGATGCTCCTTCTGACATTGTCATGGTGCAATGCTGGCATGTTGTCATGCTGCATGTTGACATTCCATCAGGCTACCATGCTTGCATGGTGTGCGGTGCCATCCCGACATTCTAACATGTTGTCACTCTTTTGTGCCAACGCGAAAGCACGCTGTCATGCTGATGTGCTGCGCTTGCTGACATGCTAACGTGTTGTCATTCTGGCAAGCTGACATGGGTCACACCAACGTGCTGACATGTTGCTACGCTGAGATGCTGAAGTCGGGTCATGTTGAAGTCATCATGCCGGCAAACTCCAGAACGGGTTCCGGAGCAGATTCCCCAGTTCTTGCTTGTTACGGCGTTGTCATGGTTGCACATATTATGTGGGTGCTTGTGCTATGCCGACATATTGCCGTGCTGGTTTGTTCGCATGGCACTTTGAGACAAGTTCAAAACCGCACTGTCTGGTGAAGACACCACTTGTTGGTGAACTTGCGATAGGCGAGTTCGCGCTCAGCTGTTGGGTCTTTTCTTGGGCCGTGTGGTAAGTTGCAGTTACTTTCTGTGAGTAGACCATGGCTGGCAGCCCTCAAGGCCAGCACGTCCCATGCGCTTCTGTCACCGCTCTCCTCACACACACACAAACTTAATTGAGTCGCAATGACAGGATGGGACCATCCACTGGTTGTGGTCGGCTTTCTTTTGGCAGCATACGGCCATCCAAATACTTTGGCACGCACGCCTTCTTGTGGCGGCCGCATCAACCGCAGTTGCCTCGATCAGGATCTCCCAGCCAAAGATTTCAAGGAGGCAAGTGGGAACATTCCACGCGTGGGAACATTCTCTGCATGATGTTTTGTTTGAGAGGCCTTTGGCACAGTTTTTACATCCAAGAAAGTGACTGGCCATGTGCAGGAAAAGAAAGGCTGGTTTCGAGAGGGTAAAGGGGTGCATGTAGAACCGATGAGAACAGCCCCTCAAACGCCCAGCTTCTTCATTTTCACCTGAAATCTGGGAGCAACCTAGAAACCAAGAGACCTTCACGTCTTCAGCCGTTTCCAGCCTATCAAGTAAGAATTGTATATGCACGATCCCTCAGATTGTGGCAGCCCCAAAACGGACACTCCCAAAAGGGCCTTTGACCTCCAAGTGCCCGCAACTGATTGGGCATCGTCTACTTTCCAGTAGAACTGCTGGCGGGCGTGGGGATTCCCAAAATTGGAGGCCCAAACACTGATGATTTTTGACGGAATATATACATATATATTATATATATATACCTTGGGCACGTACTGGTCTTTGCCAAAGTTTCGATGGTTTGATGATATACAAAAATATTACTGTATATATATATATATATTTCTTTTTCTTTATTCTTTTTTCAGTTTAGGAGGTGCAAACCCAGCTCCCCAGCCACGCCGTGGTGGCGAAGGTCTCGCTGCGTGCGAGCTTGCAGATGCCCAGTGACCCGCTGGTCAACGGCTCGGTGCAGGGAACGGGCACGATGACGGAGTTTGTGATGGGCGGCTTTTTGCCGATCACGAACGATGGCACAGGTCCGATGGTGATCGATGGGTGCTTTGGAGGTTGTTTGGGGCAGGTGGTTGTAGAGTTTCGCAGACGGAAGAGGTAGCTGAAACAGTTGCAAAGATGTATTCTCATGAGAGGAATAGGTATTCCCGAACGTGTCCAGCAAAAGTTTGAGTGAGACAAGTGAGATAAATATCTCACACTTGAGTAGTGTGACGCCACCACGCTAGTATATAATTTGAGCCCGAAAACTAGTGGACTACCTCATTGACACCAGTTTGATGCAGCCAACAGTTTGCTTATTTCTTTCTCCCAAAACCATCCAAAGCCTATCAATTCCTTGGTTTTGCCGCTTCTCAAAATTCCAGTGCGAACCCCGCACGCGCGGTACGACCTAACGAGGGGCCTGGTCAATCTTCGCGCTTCTTCTGCTGGTGCCTGCGGTCCTTTGGTTCTGCCGTGGCCAATCAAAGTCTCCACACCGCCTGGACTAAAGCAGCGGCTGAAAACGACGAGAGACTCGGGCTTCGACGAGGCCGGATGAAGAAATGGAGGAGAGAAAGTACTTCTTTGTGAGTGCATAGGGATTGATACACAAACCATAATGGGATTGGTACACAGGGGTTCCTCCATACTTCGTATGAACTCTTGTTCCTTCGAAGTGGTAACCACTTTCTTCTCTTTTCCGTGCTGCAAAGGACGCGAGCACAGCACACCTATTGTGACCATTTGTCCCTTGTCCATTGAGCATGAGGGAAGTTTCGGGTCCATGGGCCAGGCTCGGTATCAGCCTGGCCACATGGAGCCACATGGTATCATCCCCTTTTTCATCCGACCTCTCACTTTCTTTTCCAAGCCTCATGTGGGAATCTATAGCATGTGTATATATATATATATATATATATTCAACGGACATTTTGCATATGATGGTATGATATAGTTTGGCCTGCCAAGATGCCCCTCCCCTGTGAAACTGAGGTTTGAATCGGTGATGATATTCGCTGTGTCTCATACAGGCACTTTTTCATGGTTCAGGTGCACCAGTGTTTAGGCCTTTAGATGCGTTTAGGCACTCCCCTAGCGTAAGAGAATGCTCCCAAAACCACGGAAAGCTCCTTCAACCATGAGGTCACCAATGAAAACCATCCCTGCAAAAAGCCCTTGTCTTTCACCTTTGCAGGATGCATCTGACAGTGCCAAAGGTGCCTGTCAGCGCTGCCTGTCAACCACGCCTTCGGCACTTCAGGTGTCAAAAAAGGGAGGGTGGAGAGCACCAAGGTCTGCAGACGATGAAGGTCGTTTCTTTTTGGTGTTCGATATTAACGATATTCACCATATTTAGATTGGCAGCTCTTGACTTCTTAGAAGCTGCTCTTGAGTACTATTGGGCCAAGCCCTTGGCCCCTTGGGCAAACTTGACCTTGCACTCAAACGAAACCATATATTGACATTGAACTCGTATCGGCCGGCCTTGGATGAAAGCAACACCTTGCCACACCGATTCTGCAGCCATCAAGCGATTTTGACCACGTCCATGTCGACGTCAGGTGTCATAGGCCGATAGACTCTTGCTTGAAGTTTCCAGCGATTCTTTTGACGTTGTTTTGGTTTGTCCTTTTCTTTCGTGGAGTCCATCGATCTCTTCTTGTCTCACTTGTTCAAGCGCGTCCGGGCGCCCAGACGGCCCGAAATCAAAGTCTGGAGGCCCTTTCTGTGTCCTCATCCTCAATGAGCAAGATAGTCTCGACAGAATGTGAACGAACATAGAGTCTATCGGCCTATACAACTTGTACATGATGAATCACACTTAAACATTGTTTCAATATGGTTGTCAGCATGACATGGCCCATGTTTGCTTGTCCGACTCATGCTGCAATCTGCCGAGGCCATGGTTTTGCCACCGGAGCTGAACATCTATGCAGAGAATATCTTAAGGCAATCAATTGTTGAGTCCGTTCCTGGGACAGGCGGAAGTTGCTTTTTTGTTGTGAGGGCTTTTGATATTGACCAAATGGGACAGGCGGAGCACCATGATCCTCTACAGAATCATTCATACATGGACTCTAGCGTCCGTTTCTTGAGCATTGCCAGGCGATTCCCGGAGGAGTTTATGGCTCTGGGAGCTCCAAATTTAGAGGAGAACCCAGCGATATTTCGGTTTGTTCGAGTTTGCTGGTGCTAGCGAGGTTTTGTGAAGAGTTGAGGATCTTTGGAGCAGTCGACTCTTCTGTCAATAACCCAGGGTCGTAGGTTCCAACAGTTGGAGAGTCAAGATGGTCATAACTCGGCTGCTTTTCGTTGGGCATGATCCACATAGGCTGGTTTTCGTTAGTTCAAGGGACCGAGGAGAAATCCTTCTCCATAAGGACCGAGGTTTTTCTTCCCGGCGCTGTTTGGACACCCTCCACCTGTTCTTTCTTCAGGACATCTACGACCTGCGGCCGAACGGCACCTGGCACCTGCCTGAACGGATCCATGAAGAGGAGCATGTCCCGACTTGACCGGACCAGAACGGCCTTCGCAGGGTTTTGTGCCCCCGGAACCCAGTCCTCGAACCCCTTGATGAACCCAGTCTGTGGACCTCCAAAAAAGCGGAGAAGGAAACCAGGTTTTGAGATGTTTTGAGTAGGTGGTGGGTTACAAGGAACTGCCTTGACTTTCTGAGAAGTCGAGACCGGTGGGTTTCCGCTGGATTTCGAGACCCCAGGTCCAGAAAGATGGTGGAGAGCAGTGCGGAGAAGACCATCGAAATTACCATGAGGCGCACGTCCGGCAATTGAACAAGGGGCCACTATGTTTATTGTATTTATATATATCTTTGTTTATTTTTTTAGAACCACGTTTCTGTTTTTCAACCCCTGCACTCGGATTTCTTTTTTCCAATCCTGTCGGGAACCCCCTTGTTGTAACCCTTCCCAAACCGGTTTTTTCAACCCTGCAAACCGGTTTCTTTAACGCTTTTTTGACACTGCGAGGTGGGTAACCTTCACAACCTTTTGTCCAGTTTTGTAACCCAAACCCTCCCGGGGGGCTGCAATCAGGGCTGAAGCGCTTGATGGGTCTGACGGGTCAGATTGTGGTGAGGAAGATGCAGCGGCATGGTAGTAAGGCCAGGAGCCCCGTTCGTAGCGTCCTTGCTCCTAGGCTTGCAAAGGCACACTTCACAAATGCGAGCACGCTTCACTCATGGGTTTGCTCTGACTGCTTTCCGAGCAGAAGATTCACCACCTCCTCGTGACGGAGGATGCCCTGACCTCGGTGTAGCCAAGGTCGGGAATGGTAGGCTGCAGCGGCGTGCCCACTCTGTACTCCATCCAGACCCAACCGCATCGGTGCGCAGCTGCGCTCAACGCACTCTCACCGTGTAAAGAAGGCAATATACAACTACCCGTGCACCACACTGCTCAGCACACCCAGTTTAAATGCTGTTTTGGATTGCTTTTATGAACATACCGGCCCACCCTATTTTCGTGTCTCTACAGACAACAACCACAAACCTGCGATGTGTATACCGACTTGGGAGAGCAATGGCTTCCGCATCTCCATGACCACACAATCAGCTTGGTTTAGGAGGCGGAGTTCGTTATTGCTTGCCATAGCAAACACTGTACACAAAGCTGCTCACAGCACGCTGCTGCGGCATGTGCTTGCACCTCTGCCACATGCCTCGAATGGAAAAAGCTTTGCAAGATGCTGTTCACAAAGCAGGTGTTGTTGCCTATGTTGCACAACCCCCTGCTTGAGACCCATGGGCTTCCACCCCATTTGTTCCGACATGCTTCCATCTCCGTACAGCTGGCCTGCTTCACAGAAGCCTTGCACTTTCTACCACGGCCAGGCTTGTACTTTGCCGGCATTTGGTACCTGATCCGTGTCAAGTGCCACCGGTGCTGGCAACCGGGTCACATTGGCTAACCAGAAAACAAAGGTGCTTCAGTAGGGCAAAAGCTCTGCGTTGACTCTGTGCTTTGCGCACAATGCCATATACTCGTCCAAGCTCCGCTCCCACTGAGCCCTGAAAGGCTAGAGGGTCAAAAGAAAAGGGCCCAGGGCGCACGATTAAGAATGGCTGGAGGTTCAAAAGAAAAGGGTCCAGGGCCTAGGGTTCAAGAATCAGGGGGTCAAAAGAAATGCGTCCAGGGCCTAGTTGGAATCAACAAGTGGAAGAGTGGAAGGGTTGGAAAGAAAGGGTGGAGGGTTGAAAAAAGCAAGGTCGACGGTAAAAAAGAAAGGGCGGAGGGTTACAGTGAAAGGCGAAAGGGTTGAGGATTAAAACAAGGGGTGGTGTTAAAGAAAAGGGTTGGATTGTAAAAACGGGGTTCTCAGCGGCTACTGTTGGGGGGTTTGGTTGGTCACAATTCTTCAAGGTCTTCGCTGCAATGCGGACCCTCTATGCTATACTGAACCAAATAGTCAGGCTGTTAGCACCTGGGACTTCTGTCGTGAAATCAGGCAATAGCATTTTATTTGTGAGGGTAACAACCCTGGAAGTATGAACGCCTAACTACAGGTGCTATGAATTTCGGAAAGATTGCATATTGATTTATTTCGTCTCTAGTGCCTCCAGCTGCCTGGGTTGCCAGGCGCTGGTCTGGTGGAAATGCTTTTGTGCCAATCTCAGCTTGACCACATAGGGGTGGCATATTGATCAAGAGTCTACACTGGTTGAGCCCAGCTGCCTCCAGATCTGAGGTGCCCGGGTATCCCATGGGCCCCATGGCCATTCCCCAGCCTTTGGCGCCACCACAGGCTGCAAACGGTGTTTTGATGGCTTGATCAAGGGCGGTGTATGATTGGAAGGGGGTAGCTGGATCCATTGCGCCGCTGGATTTCCTAGATCGATTTGAATTGGCCTTGTATAATTTGCTGGATTTCTGCTGGCAAGCGGCTTTTAGGGCTTTGGCGCAAGCAGTTGTTTTGAATTTTGTTTTGGATCTGCTGGAGGTGCTGCCGTGGAAGAAGGTGGTCTGGAAAATCAAATTAATTAGTCTGTGTTGGCTATCAATTGGATGTCCAAACCTTTGCATTTTGGGTGAGTGACGCCAGAGTGGCATGGTTGGTAAACTGTATTGATGGCGCCTGAAAGGAAAGCACACGGCAGGCTAGCGGCTAGCAAATGAAATCGGCCTGGGAGCGGCTTTGGTTGCTGGCGTTTTCTTTTAGAAGGCGAAATGGTTCAGCGTCGGATTGCGGGACCCTGTCCTGCATTTCTCCCGGAAGCTGAAACCTCCCACTTCCTTGCCCTCAAGGCGCTGCGTCCTCCTCTCTCCAGCTCAGTTGCTGCCTCTGCCTGTTGCGAGGAGGTGGGCTCTCCCGCGCCAGGTCGACTACTGTGAGCTGGTGATATTAAAGTCTGTTAGTAAGTAGACCTCGTGCCAGAGGGAAATCTCTTTGGATGGAGCTGCCGGGTGGTGTGCTTGGAGATGTTCTGGTCTTGAGTCGTTTGGCCACGTGTTTGGGGGTGCCCGCGATACAGTCTGGTGCCGCGAACATGTGCTGCGAATCCTGGCCCTCCTTGCGTGGAGTTTGTCAGCTTGTCTTGGCTTTGCGGCCCCTGACTACCGCGCTGCCTCCAGAGAGAAGCTAGTTGATGATGAAGATGCGTTGAAGGTGCTGGGTGAAGAAGGTGATGTATAGGTGTTGAACATGAGGGGTGTTCAAGGTGATAGGTGATGAATTTGAACAGCGATGAAGGTGATAGGTGTTGAAGGTTAAAGTTGATGAAGGTGGTAGGTGACTTGGACATTCTTCTTGTGAACAACCATTTGCCACTCGCTTTCACAGTTTGAACTTTAGCCCGAGTAGGAGTATCGAGAGCCTTGAAAGAAGTCATGCACAATCAAAACCAGCTTGCATGGTGCCATGTTCAGGCTTGGAGCGCAGTACGGAACCACAGATTGTGCTGCGCCAAACCTGTTTCTTAAGCAAGTTAGTATGAGTTAGTGTATGCAGTGCTCCAAGGCGTGAAGAAAGTCCTTGACGTTGTTGAATCTTTGGACACGTCAACCTAGCCGTTCTTCCCTTGGAGACTCTGTGCGCATCCTTCGCTCTTGACAGCACTGGTGCACACGTGAGATGGTTGCATCAATCAAGCAAGTGAGTGTTTGCAATTCCAGTGTCTTTGCAACTCTCGAGAGGTATGCCACTAAGATTTGTGAAGAGGGACACACGCGTCGCTAGCGAGCGCTAACCGAGTAAGATGTTTCTTTCACAAAACAACTAATGCACATCTTGGTGAAGAGAGCCAAAATCCAATCCGCTGCGGAAATCCGATGAAAGCAGCAGATGAGAATCAAATCGTGTGGGACCTTCTGGAATGGGGCAATCTGGAAGCACTGAAGAAGCTGGTCTGAATGGATTGATGTAGTTGTTTAAAGATTTTCCCTCCTTTGTTGATTGTTTTTTGATTGAGAAGCGCTCAGACCTCCCAGAAAGTTGGCTTTTGTTGTAACGGCTTCAAGTTCTGGGTTCAATAGGAATGGATGCTTCAGATCTGCTGCTTGGGATGTCATTCCAAGGAAGTTCACCCCTGAGAACTTCGACTGGCGTGCCCTTCATCCGACTGAGAAGAATACCTTGCGCTTGGGCGACATCGAGGGTTTTGTAGTTGTCCATGTTGGGCCAAGCTGTCGAGGGGCCGGAGACCCTAAACCCTAAACCAACGCTTACTTCTTTTTTCTCTATCCCTCCAGGTCAAATTCTTCTCCATCTTCAGTGGTGTGTTCTACAAGAATCATGGGCAAAACACGTTTTAACCATCATCCTACACTGTCCAAGTCCCGAGCACTGCAACCCTTCGTTGGTCCAGTGAGTTGTTCAGGCTCATGGAAGGAGTGGCCTGCGGCTTGGCTGGTCCAAATGAAGCCTACTTGGACATCATCGAATGGCTGGTGCGCTCCGGCGCTGATGCCGCCCAAAGGACACCTCCCTCGAGCCAAGGAGTATGGCTGGGAGAAGGTGGAAGTGGGGAGTTGAGGTATGGTTTAAGATGCAGCAGCGCGCAGAGATGGAAACAAAGAGCTCATGCAACATCATACAAGCTGAATCTAGGTCAGTGAAGGATATGTGTTGTCAGCGAAAGTACGCCCTTCCAACATCCAGGATTCTTGAATCCCATTGCTAGCTCTCTTCCTATGGTGTTCGCAAAATTGTGAACAACATCATCCCATGTTCTTTTTTACAACCTCTTCTATTTGTGAACCAGCTATCGGCCAATAGAACAGAAGTCCCATAGACAAATCTGCTTTTCTTGGGTCCTGGGTGATTCCGTGCGTTCCAATACACAAGCGCATTCTCCCTCCAACAAACATGCATATACTCCAGCGACCGAAGTAAGAGCACTCCGACCACATGCGTTGCTGAATTGTGCGTTGCACAGCACACGCCGAGCCTTGCAGAAGCCACGCATTTGTCGTTCGCATTTGTCAATTGAACAAATCAGAATCTGCAGACGGATTGCGAAGCCTTCCGAAGCCTTGCTTTGACACGGGTTGTCATGATGCAGACGGATTCATGATGACATGAAAACCAGGACACTGGCCTGGTTTGAAAACCACTTGAGTCCGGGAGATGACCAGGTAGGTGTCACAACACAGGATGAACACCCTGCACTGTAAATATGGGGATGGGTCGTGACTCACCATGTGGCGAACGACCTTCCCGGTAGGTCAACCCTGCTTTTTGTTCTATGGCACCGGCCGCGCCAGGAAACTACAGTATCTGGTTGATTGAAGACCCAGACAAGACGAAGTTGACGGTGGCATACAAAGGACTGGAGTCAGGTTATTCGGTCATCATCCAGCACTCCAAAACATATGCCCCTTGTACCCCTTGTGCTGGACCATACCTGTTTAGTTCGTTTTCACACACTGCCCTTGGGTTCACATTGTGTATGCCTGAAACTCCAAGGCACAGGCCCTCAAACGCACGGGCCCAGCCACTGGAGGTGAAAACTCAGATTTCGGAGGCCTTCCGATTGGGGGATTGAAAGCCCGTGGTTTCTGTTTCAGCACTCCCGAAGCTTCAAGAGACGACTGTTGGAGTAGGAGTGAGAAGGGGATAGATCTGGATCCGTGGTGTAGGTATAAAAGAGAGAGAGAGAGAGATGAAGGAAAATCAGGCAAACACTGAGGGACTAAGTGGCCTGCCACCACATTTTTTTGAAACATAGAGCAGAGAACGAGAATCCGACACGATGAAGAAGACAAGACCGGAGAGTTGGTACACCTGGATGAAGGTGGGCTTTCACACTGTAAATGATGATGTCCAGATGGAGTGGAGGAAGTCCAGGATGAAGGAGGGTTTTCCGGATGACGCTACTGCTAGCCCTGCTTGCATGGTGATAAAGTCCTGGCCACTTCCTGCTGATCACAGACCATCCGAAGGGTCGAGCTCACAACGGAGGAGAGAATAAAGAAGGAGTAGATTCTGAAGAGGCAATTGAAGAGCGCCTGTGGGGACCAGGTATGAAATACAGGGACTTCGTTTCCAAGCCAAAGGTTTCCTCAAAGGCCAAGTTCCCAAGTGAAAGGCTGCCAAGCAGGAAGCGATAGCGCTTTCCTCAAGCCTCAAAAGCTTGAAACAGGGTCATAGTTACTCATAGCCGCACACACACACACAGACACATGCACACTTGACAAAACCTCGCAAGGATTCTGGGTGGTACCAGAAGTGCATTAGCCCTTTACAGCTACCACACTAAACCTTGGCTGCAAAACTGCAAGGTGAAGAGTCCGCGAATTGTTTAACTTGGGTGAGGAGGCAACTGAAACACAGGTATGTGGAAGTGGTGTCCCACTTCCAAATCCTCAGGTACGTGGCCAGCTTTGTACCCTGCCTGGTCCCTGCATGTGAACTAACATGTGCAAGAGCCCTTAAGAACAAGGTTGCACCCAGGCTACACACAATACACTCACACTATCTCACACTCATATATTTTATGATGATATAAAGCCGGCATGTCTATTTGACACCCCGCATTGATATGCAAAGGAAGGTAGGTGTCTTCGTTGGCACGTGGCCTTCCTTGAAAAGAAAACCAACATGTGAAAACAGCGTAATCTGCAGCTGCCACTGCAAGGTCGACGCACACAGAGACCCGACTTCCTCCGGATTTCCCTGCAGCCCTCCGACCTCCCCCCCATGTCTAACCCTTGGCCCAGAGTGAGTTGCCCACGAGGCCACTCGGCGATCAGTTATTTGTTGGCGTGGAAGCGGGAACTTCAAGACAAAGCCGAATGGTCCGAAAACTTGGCATATTTGGACAAAGCCTTGGCTCGAATCACCACGGCCACGCAGCATATTCGGCCTGTGCGGGAAAAGGCTGGGCGCCTGGGTGGGACTTGGAGAGATGAACACGGTTTTTGGTGCGTTGGGTGGTATCATGCGCCAACTGACATGGATCTGAGGAAGGGGTAGATAAGGCGTGGGGCGTTGGAATGTTGTCGCTTCTGGGCGTGGAGCGTCTGGGGTTGCTTTGTTGGAGCAGCTCATTGATGCGTGTCATTGATTGAACGCCGAGATTTCAAATCCGTCGCTTCAGGTAGCCATCGATCAGAGCGTTGTGGAGCTTTGGGAAAGAGTCTTGGATGCCACGGCCTCTCACAATCTGACCTTTGAAACTGCCGACGGCCCCGTGACCGCTCACGCACATGTTTTGATGGAAGCATCGCCCGCATCTTGGCGTGGAGAAGAAGCCGAAGCTTCCTGTTGATTCAAAAAGGAGTTGGGAAATTGCAGGAACCTGTTTGACTGACAAAAAGGGGGAAGTCTGCCGTGGTCGCCGAACACCACCGCTCCATTTGGACCACGAATGTTGGTTCCAGTCCTGGAAGAGAGACAAACGAGGCTCCTGATGGTTCTGAAAATGAATGACTCGGTCCTTTAACTTGCTTGTTTTCGTTTTCATTTGCTGAGGTACTGAAGGCCATGTTAGATTCATCGATGAAGGAGGGCGAAACTCGACGAATTCAAGTCAAAGACTCTCCAAGTCGTGGGGTGTCGTTGTTCCTGGAGACTTTGCGCCTTCGCTGCACTTGGTTGTCAGGGTGAAGGTGAGGGTATAGGGAACACAAAGGCGGACATGACAGGACCACGCTCATGAACTTTCAATGGTAACAAGTCACTGTAGTGGAAAACACTTCTCAAGGTCTTTTGGCCGCATGAGAATCAAATTCGGTGGTGGGTTCTGCGTATTTTCCTGGTCTGGAAGGGGAATCAATGGCACCCCCAAAATCCCTCTTCCATGTTCCGCACCAATGGATGTATGTGTTTATGCATGTATGTATATATAATATACATTTTCCACTTAGATCACAGTACAGTTGTATGACATCATTTGTATCATGAGCATTCATGAGACTTTACTGCAGCCCTTTTGAGTGTCAAGACAAAGTGCGTATGGTAGCGGAGCTGGGATAAGGGCAACCCCCTTTGAGCTCCAGAGAAAAGCCCCTAGGTCACTGGGATCCCGGGTGCGGTTTCGAGCCATAGAATTGGGGCCTTTGGAGCCCAAACAGCTGGACTGGTGAAGAATTGTTGTGAGCAACACTCTGTACCCAGTACATTGTGTCAAAGAGACATTAGTACAAGGAGAAGGTGGAGGAGATCAGAGAAATCCTTCAAGCAATAGCACAGAGTACGCTGGCAACAACATCAGCAGCTGAGGCGGTGAAGAAAGCAGTTGAGGACAAGAAGTCATCAGCGACAGGTTGGTCAAAATTGACAGCAACGCCCAATATCTTTGACTATAAGTCACAAGAAGAAGAGATTAAAGGCATTCAGAGTGTGGTCACGGGTCTTTGAGAAGTACCTGGGTGCAGTTGATGAGGGCTACATTGGACTTGAAGGAAATTCATGAGAAGCCAAGTGACAAGTTTGATATGGACTTGGCAACTGAAGCAGAGAAGACCAGGTGCATCAAGTTTTTTGGATTCGTAGCTTCATTGATGAGAGGAAGAGCGCTCCAATTGGTGAAAGCTGTGGAAGACTCCAATGGACTTGATGCCTGGAGGAGTTTGAATAAAGCTTTGAAACCAACTTCGAAGGCGAGAGGCTTAGCGTCTTGGGAGCAGCCACTACATGGTCCGCATTTTCAATGAACAGTGCACTACAACCTCAACTCTTGAAGCTTGAAGAAGTATTTGATGAGACAGTCAAGGCAGGGACGACAATTCAGGAAGAGTTGAAATCTGCTATTCTTTTGAGATGTGTAGGTGGCCACTGGATGTTGATCGCGTCCAAGATGCCAAAGGAAAAGGTAAGAAGGGCAAGAATGACCATCAGAAAGGCAAAGGTAAAGATACTAAGGGCAAAGGAAAGAAAGGAAAAGGAGATCAGAAAGGAAGGGACCGTGATCACAAGGGCAAAGGTAAAGGCAAAGACCAGAAAGGCAAAGGTGTGGCAACATGTTACACTTGTGGAAAGCCAGGACAGCTGGCTAAAGACTGTTGGAGGAACACTGTTCGACAGGTAGCAAGTGATCAAGCCCATGCATCTTCAGGAGGGGCATCAGTGACAACTCATACAGTTGGCCAACAGCATGCCAATGTGAGCCCACAAGTAGGTAGCTCAGCAGAGTCAAAACCAGTAGTCAGGAGAATTGAGAATAGTTAGCCAATCATCTTTGACTTGCGAGAGAAACACGACGAGCTAGAAGACCAAGGAATTCGAGTAGTTCACTTCTACATTGGAGATGATTATGATGATGATGATGATGAGCCAGAGACCCAGGAAGTTGAGGAGATGTCAATCTCAATCTCAGATGATAAAACTCATGGTGATGAGACCTGGGAAGAGAATGAGGATGTGGCCATCATTATTGACCGTAGCATTATTCCCTTTGAGTATGGCGGACTCAGAAACAAAGTCAGCAAGGGCAGTATGTCGGTTAGCAATTGACAGCCAGACTGGGTTCATTCATGTTGGGCCATCAGGAAGGAACGGCCAATTTCGCCTAAGTGTGCAAGAGTTGATGAATTTCAGTCAATTGTTGGGGTACTCAGCAGTCACCTACAGGAGTGGCAATGAACCCACAACAAGGCAAATCCTAAAGATGCTTATCATTGCTCGCCATAGTCTAGGACTCTCCACGAGATTAGTTAACTCAAAGCTTGGAGACCATTCATTTCTGTCAGAGAACACAGTTGACAGGGTGAGAAAATTTGCAGGAACTTTCATTGAAGGTGTGCAGTCAAGACTTGGTATCAAGATTGGATGTGCACTTTGCACTTGGGCAGCAAGACATGCCAGTTGGGTGCTTAGCAGATTTCAGCCAGTCAAAGGTGCAACTCCCTATTTATGAGCTTGTCTATGGCAAGAGTTACTCACGTCTCCTAGCAGAATAGGGTGAGACAGTTCATGCGTACATCAAGAGCCTCAACAAAGGAGAAGCGAGATGGCATCTATGCTTGTTCTTGGGGGCTTGGGAAAAGTCGGAAGGCAAGACACCTATATACTTACAGATGGAGTGTAGGTAGTGCTCAGCAAGTGTATCAGAAGAACAGATCAAGATTGGTCCAAATTCTTACCCATATACAAAAGCTTCAATGCCTTTTCATGGGAATATCAAGCCAACTTTGGAGACAGAACCATTGCCACCAAGAGAAAGAGCAGAAGCATTACCGGCAGCGCAGACACACATTCCCTCGAGAACGTGTAATGGTGAAGTTCAGAGTTGAAGTTGCAGAAGCAGTCGTGGCCAAGGCACTGGCAGGGAGATTCTAGCCCCGCTGGAAATCCCTGTTGAAGCAACGAAAAGAGATGGAGGCGAAAAGAAGCCAAGTGGAGAAGAGGCACCAAGTAAGAAGCAGAAAGTTCTCTTTACAGATGAGAACACGCTTGAGAAGGTGAAGGCATTCCCCCTACATCATTGCCAGCAGGACAGCCTAATTATACTATCTTCATTGAGATCACCACCAGCGCCATCAAGACCAGGAGAAGCAATTGAACTGCTTGAAGAGGAAAGTCCACTGAAGAAACTCAGGCCATCAGATGATTCAAGCAAGAAGGCCAAGATCAACATGGTGAACGTTGGAGGGGAAGATCTTTACCATGTAGATGAAGAGCCACCCCCAGTTGCAGAAGAAGTTGATGAGGGAGAGTGGGATGATGAAGAAGATCAATCAGATTTGGAAGAGGTAAATGGAATCAGTGAAGAGGAAGAAGCAAGAGAGGGAGAAGGAGCGTTTTCACAGGCCACCGACTGTGGCGCTGCTGCCGCTCTGGGCTCAGTCAACAACTTGGCGGTCTGTGCTTCCACCGCCCAAGTGAAGGTGGAATGCGCTGACAAGGTTGGTGACATGTCCATCCATGTTCACGACGTGCCCAATCAACCAAAGTTTTGTTTGAATCAAACAATAGAAAGCGATCGGGGCAAGTGTTGACGTTGGTCGCTTATCGTTTGTCGTTCGGTTTGTCCTTTCAGTGTTGTCCCCTTAGACCAACCGCCGAAAACGGGCATGTGGGGAGCTCCATGACAGATAGGGACTTGGCTCCTCTGCAGATGGACGCAGCGTCCAGGGAGACAAGACCAACCATGCGTTTAGATTTCGGGACCTGCGCGTCTTGTATGGATTTCCAGTATCGATCGGTCTCCTTGGCCGAGTCTTTCAGTTCTGAGAGGAGTGCCCTCACCTGCATGAATCATGGGGGATAAGATTGCTGCTGTTGGCATACATTCTTAAACGACTGTACACTGCTCAATCACCACCACACTGAAACGAGTCCATCAACTCACTGTGTCCACAAACAGGGCAAAAGGAATTCTGCGCAGACAGGGCATTGTGGAAGTGCGCCGCGGCTATGGACAATGGGTACAGACCGCCAAGTAGGAGAACCCCACGAAAAGTCATTGGGACATCCGCCGCGACTTGGCTGAGATTCCTACTTGGATGAACCGCGGGGTTGCTAAACCTTTGTCCCAGTTATAAGAGTTAGCTCAAAGCTTAACATATGTTTGAAGATGTGACATAGCAAGTTCATAAGCGGTTAACAAAAGCAGTCATGAAGCTGGGATTTGCTAAGCCAGCTAAGTGGTTAGGTGTTTTTCAAAGGCTTGTGGAGATGATGTTTCTTAAAAATACAATACAAGTTTTCATTGTATCACATAAAACAATAAACAACCAGCGCTAAAATAACCAATTCCTAAAACCCTAAAACCTTACAGTATAAATAACAATCCCGGTATAAACACTTAGCGCGTGCCTGCAAGGCTACAAGCTATAGCGTGTGCCCGCAAGGCTACGCGCGATGCAATTTCAATGAAACTACAGACAGTTTACGCAGATGCCTCAGGGTTTTGCCAATCATGGCTACACATCCTCCAAGTTTGCAAATCTGCCAATGATGGCTACACACTGTTGTATGGTAAACGCTTTGGCCAAAAGTGGCAACGCACCATGCAATCCGAATGAATAGTGTTTTGCAAATGGCAAGCTACATGTGAGCGATCATTAGAAGTGTTTCATGCCAAATAAATTGCGCCAAAGCCTGTACACAAACTTACCAACTCTGACCTGCAACACTTGCTCTGCAAAAGCAATCAGGACAAGCGTGTCATGTTTCTGTTCACTGCCTGTGCTCCATAGGGATGAGCGTGACAACTTTATTGTCTTTGGCAAGAAATCTACGTACCAAAGGGCAAGCAGTATCTGATAAATTGAGCAGCTGAGGGTTGTGTGCAGGTTGCTATTTGCTGTAGGTTTTTGCATCTCAAGCAAACCCCACACCTCCACCAAGGCAACACTCCTTGGATGGGGTCTGCCCATACAGTGCCAAGCTGCTCCTTAAATTTGTTAGTCCTGCGCTGCCTTTCCAATTTGCTCGCACTGGTCCACTATGGCAGATCGAATTTGGTGGATGCGCGCAACGGGCGCTGACTTTCCAAATCCTGGCCGCGGCGAAGGAGTATTTGAAGGAGCAGCCGGATGACAGCGTCAAGGTCTTGAGCGATTTGGAAGCCCACCAATACATCCGGGTCACCGCAACAGCGCCGCCCCAACAGCCTCAGAAAGGACCGGCAGACATTGACGGCGTTGGCGTGGTGGAGAGGGCTAGAGCTCATCTACCAAAAGCTCCAGGCCAAAGTCCGCCGCAAAACTTTACCGAGCCTACCCCAATTACCAGTCTGGAGCTTTCGGGGGCGCAGTCAGGGCACATCTTGACAAATACCAGATGAGAGCCGTTTTGGGAAGTTTTGAGTGTGTGACAACGCACAGTTCAGACGTCAATCATTTGGTTTCCTCTTTACCCATCAATACAATTCAGGGCATTGCGAAATGGTTAGCGCCGGTTTTGAAGCTTGCTGCGTGGGCAACTAGCCGTCCCGACGACAATAGCTAGCGTGAAGAGAAACGTGCTGCTATTGAAGAACCGGTGCTCAAAGATTCAGCAGAGGAATCAGGCGGTGGGTACACTCAGACGCACAGTTAGGCCACTCACTGACCAAGCCTTCCGACAAGGGACAGCTTCAGCTTTTCTTTCTGTTGGGATGAAACCTATGGATTCTTGATTTTCTGTTTTTGTTAATATGCCCACCAGAGCAAATTCGGTCATGCAGAATTCTGTAACTCGTTTCGCAGTCCAGCACTCAAGGCCCCTTTCGTGGCTTTGTAGAAGAGGAGCGTTCGCATTTGTGCAGACTCCTTGCTCGGTTGATCTTTTCACATACATACACTCTTTACATATATATATATATTTATTATTGTGAATGCATGTCCATTATGGTATTCGCACCCATTTTTTTAGGGGGAAGCCTGGTGGGCCACGTGTCTCTTGACAAGACCAAAACACGTTCATGCAGACGAGTTTTCACATCGTAGGCTGAGGAGGTTGCCCGAAGCCTGACATAGCACGCATTTCGATACATATTTCATCAATTTTCATCATATTTCTACACCCCAGCGTTTCAGCCTATTTGCTTAGACTCAAGCTGATCCTTTGAGGTATACAGTATACGGTCTGTTTCAGGTCCATTTGCGCGGAGGAATGACTTACTGTATTTTGCTTCCCCTCCACCTGGGGGGGGTGGACTCTGCAAGGTACACTTGCTCGACTCGCAGTGAGCCCAACCATGAGACGGTGCTGATCGCGTTGGACTTGGCGCATCGATGGCAGGTGTACGGCGTGGTGAACATCTTCGCGGAACTTCTGCAGGTGCCTTGTTTGTCCGGACATACCTGCTGTATTGCCTTCAATTACTAACGGTCCCTGGTTTCAACCACAACAGGATCACCAGCCTTTGCAACAGTTTGCTCATGCCAGCCGCGCAGGTTCTGGTTTTCAGATATTGGAACTTTGAACCTTGAATTTTTTTGATATTTGACTTTTCCGAACTGGAATATTTTGATGGTGGGATTAAATTGCATTACTTAGGCGTTTTTAACACCAAGGTTTCTTTAGGGTTTGGGGCAATTAGATCGTACGTCGTACAAAGCAATTCCCCAGTGTGTGCACGTGTGCGTGTGCGTGTGCGCGTGGGTGTGTGGGCGTGGGCCTCGGGGTGTGCGTGTGCGTGGGCCGGGCGCTTGTTCGTGTGCCAGTGCAAGTGCGAGTGCGTGTGCGTGTGCTAGTAATTTTTGAGCGTTTGCCTTGTGGTGGGGTATGTCCGGGTTTGTGTTGCTTGTGATTTCAGTGTTTCTTTACGATCTTGTGATTTGGTTTGGTTGGATTCTTGACTCGTGACAGCGTCCCAGCTTGTATCAGCTTGTGTTCTGAACCATTTCTCGTGTCTAAGCTCCCGGACCTGAACTGTAAGCTCCGCAGTGGGCACTCCCGGACCTCTGGATTTTGTTTTGAAAGCTTTTGTCACTGTCTCGGTCGCCCTGTTTGGCAGCTCGCATACGTGGAGTGGGTGGACTTCGGCTGTTGAACAGTTCTCCCTCGTTAGATTTTAGTTCACCCTTGAACAGTTCACACGGCGTGCTTTCACAAATTTCAGATCAGCCACTACAGCTTTCTAACAGGCATCCTGATTGACTCTTGATGTCGGTTGCGATCAAAGCTTTCCTCCCTGAACATAGCGTGCCAATTGTGATTTGCATATGTCATGTGTGATATCAGCAAATACAGCTTTTTTGCAAGCATCCTGATTGGTTTTTAACAATCAACCTGACAAAAGGTTGCATCCCTTCACCTGAGCAAGCTCGCCCATGCAGTGTACCCAAGTTGACCTGATGTGACTTAAGCCGCCCTGATGTGACTTGCAGTGTACCCAAGTTGTAGATATGACGAAAAGAACGTGAAGATGTGACGTGAGACTTAGTATCTCTTGATTTGTGATATCGGGAGACGTCTCCTGTCGACGTACCTGCAGCCGGTTAATGTACGCAACACTTTCTTATTGTTCCAGGTCTTCCAGGTCTTAGGTCGTCTTGCACTAATCGGCTAATGCAGTACCTAGGTCGTAAAGTGTCAATGCATCTTTGGTAGCACTCTGAACTGTGCTCTTGCGAGCTCTTTCTCAAGTGTGTGTGCGCGTGTGAACCTTTACTACAAGTTGCAGGGTCGTGATGGCAAGAAGACATGTGGATGATTTTGGCAGTCGTTTGATGCTGACACTTCTTGGAGCCTTTTCGCTCCAAAGACTGTTTGGCGCTCATCTGTTTTTTTCAGAGGAGATGATCACAGATGCCAACTTTGCAGCCATTGCCGAAGCGGCGGTGCTCAAAGATTTGGAGGGCGTGAAGAAGGCGCCGCTGGAGAGGGGGGAGCGGCCTCGACAAAAAGAACGACTACTCAGGTGCTGTGAGGTCTTTGTGAGTTGGTGAGTCCTGGTGAGTTGGGCCTTAGGGGTTTTTCGAGGCCGATGTGTGAAGGACCGCTGTTTCAACGGATTGGACCTTTTGGACCCAACACGTGGACAAAAGAGACCGGTCTCCCGCCACTGGTCCCCACGTGACCATGTGGAGTCCCAACCTCCACTTTGACACAGTCCCTCAGACTTGTTTTTACTAGCTTCTTGTTACTACTAGTAAGGCACTTGTTACTACTAGCGTGGCACTTGTTACTAGTAGTAACAAGAAGCTAATGTAAATTTTAAGAATCAAGCCATGTGGAGTGGGGAATGTCTGTGACCATTGTACGGACCGCTGCTGCGCTGAAGACTGGCTGACCCCAGACATTCCTTGAACCAAGACACAAGAGGGAGCTACTAGTCATTAGATGTTGCCGACTTCATCTCTTCGGTTGGGCCCAGCTCAGTCTCCAACTCGGGTTCGCCGCTGGCACTGGACCGGACGGTGCGGGTCGGTCTCCCTTGCGGGCCGCCGGCAAGGTGTGCCGAATTCATGGCATGGAATCGCGAGCGGTGCAGGACCGATGTGTTGTGCACCTCTGGTGCAGGTGGAGGGGTGGTGAGAGACTCTTCAGTTTCATTTTTGTTACTACTAGCTTCTTGTTACTAGTAAGGCACCTGTTACTACTAGTAGGGCACTTGTTTCTACTAGCTTCTTGTTACTACTAGTAAGGCCCTTGCTCCTAGTAGCGATGCACTTGTTCCTAGTAGCGTTGTGTTGAAATGGTCTTCAGGAGCGACTCAAGAAGGGTCTTCTTCCAAAGATGCTACAGGATTTGCTGGGACACAAGGCCAGATAGGGAGAGGAGGGCGGTAGTGCAGAGATGTAGAATGTGTAGTTCACATGGTTCTTTATATAAGGCGAAAGGCGATGGCATGAGGCTGCGAAAGCATCTACGACCAAATTGAGAATGCATAAATCCTTGCTTGTCAAGCCACCAAAAAGTGATCTTGGAGCTTTCGTGCTGAAAGCCGCCGGCACGCTTTTAGCTTGCAGTATGTTTGAAGCGATCCTGCTCTGACCTGGCCCCTCTCCTTCTCCTGATGCTCTGGTATGGTCCCTCTATTGCAGATTTGTCCTGCTCTATTCCTATGTCCTTCCATCCTAAAGCTGGTCTTCAACAGCTACAGCTAGATGACCTCCACAAAAACCTAAAAACAATATATACCGTTCTTCCAGCTCTGGCTGCTCAAGTGCCAGTGATCGTGATTGAGTCGGAGCTGATCTTCGCTCACCAAGACATCTACCGACGTGTGCGTCATGGCCCGTTTACCGTGTGAGGCTTCACCTGCTGCATCCTGCCCCAAGAAGCGCCGGAGGTTCTGAGGGTCTCCCGACGCACCGTCCCCGGTCGCGGCGGACTGCGAAAAGCCACGGGACCGGCGGACTGCAAAAAAGGAGTCGCCAGCCGCGAAGGGGCAAAGAGGGGTGAATTCACCGGCCAAGAGGTTGTCATTTGGTGGGCTTTGACAGTATTTCAGTCCATCCCAGTCAGGAGATCTTGGATCTAATCAACCGCCATCCCCGGTTCTATTGATGGGTGACGAGCTCTCCATCAACAAAGCATAGAACATCATAGAACTGTCCCACATGGCTGTTTACAAAGTTTGGAGACTACTTTGGAGATGAACACCTTGCAGTTGCTGGCCCCATCCCCTTTGATCGGCTGCTTTTGACAGTTCTCCGCACACCAAGACCACAAGACCAGCAGTGACATCAAGCAATCTCATGGTGACGAATTCAGAGGGCGAAGACAGGTACTTCCTCTGAACTGCAAGAAATCCGCCAGAGCCCAGCATAAGTAGGTGTCCCGTAGTCCGACTGCCCTATGATCCACTTGACTTCCAGGAGTCAACTTGTTCGAACGAACATACTTTTTCCTGGTTCAACTCTTGGCTGATGGGACTGAGGCCGCTGCAGCAGCTCGCTTCCAAGGGGCGGGGCTGCTAGCAGTTTCTGGTGGGTGTCAGGGGGGTCCTCAGAAGGAGTTAAAGTGACCAAAGTTGTTGGATTTGCCGATGGTGGGTCATGGGAGATTCATCCTTTTGAGGGGGTCGACGTAAGAAGAAATGAATGTGGCTTTGTGCTCAACATTGCTCATTCCTGAACAGAACCCCTGTGTAGGGGGTGCTCGAGGATTTTCGGGCCTAATCCCAGATTTTGGCGAATGCCTGACAGGCCATGCCGACTGCTTCTGTCAATGCCGTGAATACACAGGCGGAGCTTCACTGAGAGAGCATCTACAAGACAATTTTGAGACCTTGAAGTCGCATGCCATTTTTTCTATTGTCTCAAGCAAGTGGACTCACCGATTCACCTATACAGAAGATACACATACACATAATACCAACGTAAATTCCTTTGCACTCCAAAGAGGACTGAACTGTCATATCGAGAGCCCGTCGCGGTAACCCTTTTCGGCTTTCGCAGGCTTTGGACGATCAGGTTGGATGGTTTGGGCGGGATCCTAGCGGTTTGTACAAGACGACTACAGGTAGGGCTGTTCTGTTTTGTGTTACGTCCCCATTATAGTATATAATATTATTGGTTGAGAGTTTCGAGGCGCTGAGAATGAGGCATTTGCACATATCACAGGAGACATCGCTCTGATGCTTTCCTTTTGTGGGCAGTTGCAGCTGTTGCACTAGGAGCAAGGACGCTACTAGGGGCTCCTGGCCTCGCTACTAGGAGCAAGGACGCCACCAGAGGCAGGTTCTGCTCTTTGAGGTCTCTTGTCTCGGAGACGAATTCATAGTTTTTCACTGGGGCGAGTCGGATCCTCCAGTTGTCATCAGGTGCATACCGTGCAGCTCAGGTTTAGTTTGAAGACATACCTGGGGTTTGACTATAACATTTGGAGTTGGCCATCTCCAAACTCCTCCATCCCTTGTATAAACCCAACACATTCTTCTACGAACTTGGACAGGGGAAGTCTTGGACAACAACCGTTACGATAGGCCCATTGAAACAGAAACAAACGGACCATTTGCAAGCCCTTTTGCGATTCCTCTTTGGCTTCAACCAGCATTGATAGCTATGAGTTCAAATCTTCTGAGCAGTCGGAATGGTTGACCCTTTTTTCGGAATGCTTGGAGTGTCCTATCCCCTGACATGGCCGTGCATGACATGTATACCCTTGCTCGCCTTGCCCCTGTGTGAAAGCTCCTCTGTCCAAGCTTTTTCCAAGAACCTGAGTCGATCTTCCAAACTGAACTGGTGCCCGCTTTGCATCCCCTGACATGGAGAGATTTATGGTGGCCCAATCTTCGGGATGTGTGGTCGTCTAGTCTATCGGCGGAGATTCACCATGAGTCCTTTTGGAAATTCACCAGGAGCACCAGGAGTACATAGAGGCCAAGGAAAGAGGGTTTTACACCTGTCCGCAAAAAGTGGGTCTTCCCCATCAATTGATCAGGCCAACCAACGACTGGGGCGCTTGGAGGGTGCTTTGTTGGCGTTGAAGCCACAGATCGAGGTGGGTGGCCATTTGCGCGGTTCAGGGCGCGTGGAAAGACGCCAGACCGTGGCGCGGCACAGGAGCGTCACTTTTTCTCGGGATTTGGATGGGGCTGTTTGTCCCAGGTTGAGGAATCATTTCCACCCCTTTTATAAGGTTATTTCTGGGTTGAAACAGACCAACTGCGACCTGTGGGCCGTTCCTCCAAGCTGCAGGCGATGGTTGCGATTCAATCGAAGCTGACTACGCAGGTGCGAGCAATATTGGGCATGCAATCGTAAACGGGTTGACTGGACAATGACAAGGGGAACCCGACGGAGTAGGAGGGCACTCGACTAAAGTAGGGTGCTTCTACGTATGCACACGTTCAAGTTTATCTATATATTTGAACATGAAGACCAGAGATTGTTGGGAGATTGATCCATGTTTTGTCCGAGCTTGCGCCTGTAGAACTTTGCAGGCTGCATCAGACATCATAGTGCCAATTTCAATGTTCCTTCAGCATCCGAGTGTTTATTTTTCAACATTTGAGTTATTCCCTGTAGCGCTTGGAAAAAGCTGCCATATGTTGGAGATCGCTGCTTCTAAGTATATAGACCCCAAATAGATAGAAAAGTCGATCTCACAAAAATTGTGTTGGACACCGTGCCACTATCTATTTGGGGACCACGACAATACAAGGCTTAGAGGCTTCCATTTTCCTTTGCCCAGCCCATCCGGGGCACAATCAGCTCGTGCGTGCGTGATTGCCGGGGGCCACCGAGCAACGTTTGGAGCACCTTTTGTGTTTTGCAACGCGACGTCGGAGAGCTCAGATTAAGACCCTGGCTTCACACCATGCTTATATAATTTGCCCCGTGAACGGCCGCATATCCATGTCAGATGGTGCAACAGTACCACGACTCCTTCACTGAGGGTAAGACCGGGTAAGACTTCTCAACTTCGTCGGGTCAGAGTTCTCCGTTTTTGGAGCGAGAGTGCAAGTGAGTTGGTTCTTATCCAATCCCTTTGAGCCTTTGAACAGATGTATTTCTCGTGGCTGACAGGTTCCAAACCATGCGAACAGCAATCCACAAGCAGCTCCCAGAGGCGAGGATCTCGCTGATTCCGGGTTGCTACTCTGCTAATTCCGTCCAAACGAGGTAGGAGCTCTCCACTGGAAAACTTCAGAGATGGCAGGTTCGCATGAAGTTGGGAGTGTGACTGTCCCAATGACCTCCCGGCTTCTATTGGAAAAGAATGCTTAGACAATCAAGTTAGGAACATTCAGATGTACTCAAACCTTTCCAAACATTCAGAGAATTCATTGGTCATTGTTGGTGTCATTTTTAGGTGCTTAACTACTGCCATTGTGCTTCCGCTCCCGGTCTCGGTGTTCCGCGGAACCGCCGTCTTCTCCAAACGACGAGGTGCTCAAACCCCGGGAGCTGAACTCAAGGTGCGTCTCCGACGTCTTCACGTCACCCGCGCGGGAAACCCCCGGGGCGTCGAGTCCCTTGGTTGTCCGGTGACGCAGAGCCCGTTGCTCCGCTGTTGCTTCCTCTTCGGATCCGACGGATTGGGCGGAAACCCAGCGAATTTGTCGGCAATGGCTTCACACAGTACCCTCAACTGTAGCAGATATGCTATGAAGAAGAGGTGATTCATGTCGAAGATCTGGAAAGGGCTCTGACAAAACTCGGTTTGATGGGCTTGAAACAAGGTCTTTGAGAATGGAAATGGTGGGTCTGTCAGGTGGTTCGGGATTTCCCCATGAATTCGAACAGGAGCTTGGATGGACATCATCTGTGGACAATTCACCTGTCTTGCAATCTCTTTTGCTTTCCTGAGAGCTTCTTGCTCCTAGTAGTAAGGCCAGGAGCCCCCAGTAGCGTCCTTGCTCCTAGACTCCTAGTAGTAAGGCCAGGAGCCCCTAGTAGTGTCCTTGCTCCTAGTAGTAAGGCCAGGAGCCCCTAGTAGCGTTTCTTTGTTGGATCAAGCGAGTGAGGAATCACATGCTTCCTTTTTGGAGTTTTTTCTGTCACGCTGGGAGGTTCCACGGGAGCGGATGGGGGGCTCTCCCAGCGGTTGAGCCCTCTCACCTCCACCAGCACCAAGCCGAAAGCCAACGTACCACAAGCGAACGTCAAGACCTCCAAGCTCAACCTAAGCAGAACGACTTGCGGAGGTTGCCCACTTACAACTCCCAACTCCTTGACATTCAAGGGCACATGAGATTTTCCCAGTGCTAGAGTCTCAAATCGGGCAACTGGGGAACCACTCCCATTTCCGAATCCGCTGGAATCCGGTGCAAACTCATGGGCTTCCGAGTCTTGTGGCTCAGACCAGCAATGGCGATGCATGTGAAAGAGGCACCGGTTTGACAAGTCCGACTCACTTGCTAAAAGTCACTGAAGTTTAGGACAAAAGTGACAAAAGATTCTGGTATCGGGAATCACTTTGACTTTTCGACTGCAGCTAGCCCGCCCAGTCTTATTAATCCTAGTCGCTACAAAGCAAGGCAGATGGCAGGATGTAGCCAGCTCTGAGGCTGTGACGTCCCACGACCAGCGAGAAACAGGACGTATGAGTGTATGAGTTGACTTCTGCCAGTGGTGAAGTCAGACCGTGTAAGTGTACAGGAAGTTGAAACGAAGCGCCATTTGACTTGCTATGGGAATCTGCCACTCAGATGGGACAGCAGAGACTTTGCGGCACGTTGTGTCTTTCTGGTCCCAGGGTGATCTATTCTTGCGCTTTGTTTTGGGGTGCTTTGTGTTTGCTCCTTTCTGGTTTGGTCTTCTGTTTTCTTAGGTTGTTGCCATCCGGAGCCTTCTCAGCCCGGTCCGGTACAGGTGGGAGGCGCAGAAGGCCTCCATTTGTACCACTCCAAGTCTGGATCGGTCCATTTCGGTTTGGCTCTCGGTGTGATCGACGGCTGAAGATATCGTTCCACTAATCGCGTCCTTGCTCCGTTCGTAGCGATGGCCTCCACCTAATAGCGTCCTTGCTACTAGTAGCTCTTTTAACATTGAGCCCTTTTTTATCCTTTTTCATTTGCCAGTCCATAAGGTGACTCGACTGCCAATTTGGAAGCTGCATGAATCACTTCGGCTGGGTTTGTTTGGGCTAAGTGTCGTACTTCAACAATACACGGGTCTTTTGCCTTTTGCCTGGTGATCACTGCACCCCCCAGAAAGACCAAGGATGTCGTGTCCGAGGAGAGCTTTGAGGGCCTCAGAAGCAGCAGTGCGATCGCCAGCAGGTTGAGGCATGAGGGATCATTGTCTCCAGTAATAAGGTGAACCCACACTCCTCAGCGCGGTTGGCCTCCCAAGTTTGCCAGGCTTCCACGTCCTCAGATTCAAGAAGGCTAACACAACGAAAGAAGTCGAGTTACATCAAAGATCGAACACAACCTCCGGCGTTGGTTCCTGTGCCACAAAGATCTCTTCTTTTCTCAGAGGCATGTCTTGGATGCGGCCCATCGGATCCTGAATGAAGAGACCCTGCCAGTGCTGGACACCGTGCGAGTGGTGCGGAAGATTATGCGCGTCTCCAAGGCACGTGCCCCGTGCCGCGCATGCTCCAATGTCGCGAGATGTTCTGTTTTTTTGGTGAGCCGAAAAAATGGGAGAGGCAGTGGGAGAGGCCTCAAAACCTCCTTGAAACTCGTGGATTTGGGTCGATTTGGTCCTGTTTGGTCGCAACAACAGTAACTTTTTGACCACCTTTTTTGGTCTGCAGTTGTATGGTCGAGGGCTACTTGAGGTGTAAAGGGTTTCTATATTCCCGAGTGATCCAGGTGACGAGGATAGGTGATGTATCAGTTGGCCCTGTGTGCTCCAAGTACCCATCCAACAGCATGCTAAAATCAATACCTGACCCTCAAAAGAGTCGCAAGGTATCGCCAGACTATGACATGTTTTTTTCCACCTCATGCACTTCAACTAGGTTGGAGGCCATCGCTAGTAGTCACATCTCCGCTGGTTTCGTGTTATTTTGACCCATTTGGTTTCACCTCACAGCTGGCCTCATCCTGCATGATTATATCTTTGTCGGTGGTCAGACCCTCTTCGGATCACATCTTTTCATGAGGCCCAAGACATGAAGAATGCTGCTCGCTGGTTTTCGGTGTTTTTGCAGTTCATCCCAAACCCCAACAAGAGGCATGCACAGGTTTTTAAAAACACTTCTCCAATTCAACTTCCTGATTGAAACCAGTTGCAAATATGTTTACAATCTTTTACCATGTTTTCATTTTTTCTGCAACTTGGGATCCGAGGATTTTGGGCCAGTGCTCCCAAGCCCTACCGCACCAAAGCCCTGCAGGCCATGCGCCTGGAGAACCCTGAGGTGATCACAGAGGATGCCACATCGACGTTTGGGTGACAAATGGGTGAAAGACGAGGTGAAGTTCATTTCGGGGGTGCATGTCATTCAAAGGATATCATAGGTTTTTGAAGAAGAATTGAACAAGTTGTTGGAAGGCCTCCAACCTAAGAGCGATGGCCTCCAATTCAATAGCGATGGCCTCCAACCTAGTAGCGATGGCCTCCAATTACTAGCGATGGCGTCCAACCCACTGGCGATGGCCTCCAACCTACCAGGGCTCACGGTGGCTGGTAGCTTTTCCAAAAGGACACCTGGCTTGGTCTGTTTGGCCAGCGAATGTTTCCGAATTGAAAGAGCCACATTGGTTTCGGGAAGAAAGCGGAGTCAAGGAGGCCTTTTGAGTCAAGGAGATTTGGTTTGGTTGTTGAATGACCTCCGAAAGACAAACATCACGGCATTTAATGGCTCTCCGTGTTCTATGCAGTTTTGCCCATGCTTCAAAGGTGACAGACTCAGTTTGTTTATTGTTTCCGTCCATAGTTCAGTTTGAGAGATGATGATGGGATGACGCTGGATAGTCGGAGGAGGACTCACCATGCCTCCAGTCCTTCCTCATGCAGGATAAGAACTCATTTACCACCGGTCCTTGTATAGATTCTCAAGCGGGCGAACATCGACGGACGAGTCGAACATTGACTTCTTGGTGTTTCACCACGAGAACTCGTGCCGTTCACGAGAACTCGTGTACGATCACAGGAGTGTCGAGCCGATGGGTGCAAGCCAATGACCGATGTGCAGGAAGCGAGGCAGAAGACATTGAAGCTAGCAGCTAGCAAAGAAGACATGAGGGAAGCTACCAGAAGATTTGCTAGTGTGTTCAACCTTCAACCATCACTGATTCACATTTCCACTTTGAATGCGATGTGCTATGAAGGTTTGTACTATCCCAAACTATTGGCTTGCATGTGACAACTAATAGCATTTGATTTGTTTGGTATCCAGGTGTTTGTTTTGGCTGAATCTGACCGTTTGAGTTTCGATCGAGTCTCATATCTACCAGGCAGTTGGCCAGCTATGTCTACCATGCGACGCTTGGCCGTGCGTTTTCCCCTTCACGGCCGGAGACCGTTGGGTGACCTCGGCGGTCTCCGGTCGCGGAGAACGACGGAGACCAGCGCGGGAGGAGTGTGGGAGGAGTGCGGGGTGGCCCCTCATCACCCTGAGGCAGTTGGTCTACGAGGCTGAGACCGATCAGATCCGAGAACGTGCCCTGGTTGAACGTTGGGGGGCTCGATCTGATCGGTGCGATGGTGTGTTTTGCTGTTTTGTCGCCCAAAAGGCTCAAAGTGACTGTTCTCTGAGAGGGGCCCATCCTCCCACACGCACCCGTTGAATGATACCTTTGATCAACCTTGTTTGTCGTTTATATCCAGAGATGGAAAAGCATGGAAAAGCCCTTTGTCTTGCTTTTGTGGCTTGGGAGATCTTGACCACCAGGACTGATCGGATGTGGCATGATGCTGATCCAGCACAACAAGGAGCCACTTAGATAGACATCTCTGAGTTCGGTGAGGTCTTTTGGAAGGGGAACTGTTGATCCTGGTGCTGAGCTGTGAAGAAATTGTGTACAAAAGGCCTTAAGACTATGAGGCCAGTGGGCCGCCAGTCTCGGAATGGCCACGAAATGAAAACAAACAAATATCTTGGGATCGTGTTGTGAACATGGACCCCTTGGGTTTGACCAACGCAGTTGGAGGCCATCGGCTATTAAATTATTAGGATGGTGTGTGGTTCTCATCCAACGAGGCTTCGTCTCTTTTGGCCAGCTTCTCCTCAGGCACCCGATGCGTCAACGCCAGAGGGGGCCCCCTCCAAGCCATTCCGAAGAATTTGTTTTCTTGGGACCTCTAGGGTTCAATCAAGAAAGCCTTCCTGGTGTCCGTTTCTTTTTTTCCTTTTTGGACTAGGTCGCTTCGATTTCCGACCACTGACCGCCTTGGCGTCGCATGTGGGAGCTGGCAGGAGATCAACACAGGGCGAGTGGCCAATTACTTGGCCATTGACCCAAGGCGCGGAAGTTCCGCTTGTTCAGCTTCCTTTCACGGCACGGAAGTTCCGCTTCCAAGTGATGCTGGATCAGGACATCAGGTGTTCTGCTTTGGACTGGAAGACTTCCCAAATGCGATCCAGTAGGTTAGTTAGTTAATGCTGGCTTATGTATGTGTCTTGGATGATACATCTAACTGAGTTGACTTCTTTTTAAGCTGGCTTCAGCCTTCGATTGAGCTTCCAAGAATTCAACTAAGACAAATTCGCGTATGCTGCTCGGCTGTTCTCTCGAAGAGAAATCTTCCTAATGAGAGTTCCTATGAGTTCCTGCTAGGCGGGGGGGTTATCCACCCAACCTGGGTCAGTGGATCCAGGTGGAAAGTACCCCCCAAGTCTTTGCGAGTTCCGTGGCTTCTCCACTTAGAGCGCAAACATCGAGTGCAATTTCTCCGTCGCACATCGATTCCAGCCACCCCACCCCTCCCGCACCGCCAGAGCTCAGCTGAATCGTCACGCCCGAGAAGACCGAGTCTTCGGCATCGACGGCTCGTGGCAGGCGGAAGATCGCCGTCTTGGCCATCAAGGGCACCTCCACCATCGAGGAGTTCGAGCTTTTGAGATGTTGTTTTGGGGGGGGGCGGGAGGGGAGGTGAGCTGATGGCAGGTCCACAGATGTCTGAAATACTATAGTGGACACTATTTTGATCTATTTTGATACTCAAAAGACACAAATGACATCGACGGAGATCCGTTCTTGAGATTCTGCGCTGCATTTAGCGGGCGGCATGACGATCACTAATAAAAAAGGTGGCAATCTGATATTGGATTTCACAAGAAGAGTGAGAAAAAACGAGGCGGACGATGGCTCACATGAGTATGGCACTTATAAAGGCAGCACCAGGTCGCAAGGGGGTTAGGACGAACATCGCCAGGCTCCAAGGTTCGTCCAGAATTCAATCCAACTTTCCAACCACGGCAGGTCTTCCAGGCTCTTTGACATCAAAACACGTGAAGACAAGTCTTCCCCGAGGCCCGGCAGGCCCTACCTTGGGGAAAGGACCTACCATCCCCACATTAGTTGCCATGAACCAGGACGCCTTGACTGACATCATCGCAGATACTGGTCCGCTGCACCTACTGAATGCCGTGAAGACTGCAGGCCTTTGAGTCACGCCATACCACCCCAGTCACGATGAGACAAACAAGGTGATTAGAGAAGAATTGCGAACGGCAGAGGAATACGGCAACTTGGGAGCCTCGCAGTCGCAGGGTGCAGGAAGCTCATACGCAAGAGGAACAATTGAGCATAACAATGGTTTACACCAGGAAGATCAACACCGAGCTTGAAAACAGTTTGGCCGGAGGAGAACACCATCTTGAATGATTTGGCAGTTTGTTATTCATCTTGCGCGTGAAGCTTTGTGGGGAAACACACTCGAGATACTAAGTGGCAATTTCAAGACTGCCTGTTTTGCCCTTCGCTGTGGGTGCACTGAAAGCCGCTTCGGACCGACAAATCAACTGGCTGGAACCAACAATGGGGTTGGCACTTCTCCTTCTACAATCTTTCAACAAAGGAAGGTCACTGCTCACTACTCCTGCTAGTTGTATCTAGTTGTTCTTCAGAGTACAAAGTCATCTGAGTTGCTCAAGGGCCCTTGAGGGAACGCCGGCAGGCAGACATGCAGTGTTGCTTCTTATCGTGTTAAATCTTTTTGACGGAACAATCTATTAGAATCTATTATATTATATACATACTAGCCAGAAGGTTGGAGGCCATCGCTAGTAGGTTGGAGGCCATCGCTGGTAGGTTGGAGGCCATCGCTCTTAGATTGGAGGCCATCACTAGTAGATTGGAGGCCATCGCTCTTAGGTTGGAGGCCATCGCTCTTAAGGTTGGAGGTCATCGCTCTTAGGTTGGAGGCCATAGCTCTTAGGTTGGCGGCCATCGCTCTTAGGTTGGAGGCCATTGCTCTTAGGTTGGAGGCCATCGCTGTTAGGTTGGAGGCCATCCCTCTGCCATCGCTCTTAGATTGGAGGCCATCGCTAGTAGGTTGGAGGCCATCGCTCTTTGGTTGGAGGCCATCGCTCTTTGGTTGCAGGCCATCGCTAGCAGGTTTGAAAACTGTGACATCTCTTTCCAGGACTTTGCAGCAACTGCCCGAAAGCTCTGAGACCTCGAAACCTCCAGGTTCGGCGCGCGGCTTCTCCAGCGTGGCTGGCTTCGCGCACGGTGGCTTCCGCTTGGCGGCCCATGGAGTGCTTCACCAGGCGTTGGTTGAGGTTGGTTCATGGTTGGTCAAACTGCTGGTGGTAGGTGGTGGGAGGGTACATGCTGCTTGCGAGAGAATGAGGGGTACTGACTAATTAGTGGCAACTCCTGTTGATTGATCCGGGAAGCTGAACTCTCACGCAGAGGAACTATGAGGAAGTGTCCCCGCCCCCCAAGCAGGAACTTGTTCTTTTTTTGTGTCACATGACATGGTTTCGGGCGCCTTGGAGTTTTCTTTTTTGTCCCGATGAATTTGATGCCAACTGCCCCAAGCCAGGGAGTAAAACTCTCTTGGAGTGGGAGTGGTCTACCGCTCTGCTTGGCCAGGTGGAGCCAGTGATCTGGCATTTCCTTTGGCCCTTGCAGTATCAGCTGATTCTGACTGGTCATAGCTTGGGTGCTGGGACGGCTTGCTGCCTGGCGAAGATTCTTTACGACCGGACCCTTGGACGAATTGGGCCAAGAGCCATTGCACGGAAGAGCGTTGCTCTAAATTCTAATGAAATTCTTATTGTTACTAGTAGTAAGGCATTTGTTTCTAGTAGCGAACCTTGTTACTACTAGTAAGGCACTTGTTACTAGTAGCGATGCACTTGTTCCTAGTAGCTTCGGTCGGCGAAGAATCAGTAAAACCAATGACTTTAAAGCAGATGTTTGTAAGGACGCGACTAGGGGCTCCTGGCATCGCTCCTAGGAGCTTGCTACTAGGGGCTCCTGGCCTTACTACTAGTAACAAGAAGCTATTAGAAACAAGAATGACTGTAGAATTGAAAAGTAGAATTTAATTAGAATGTGCAGCAGAGCAAGGTGCCATAAGGTTGCCGGAAGTTGAAGTTGTTTGCTTTCATGACAGCTGGGGCCAAAGAGATTGAAGAAGGCGCATATGCCAATGTATCCCTGACCGTAAGCAAAACGCAAGGATAACCTTGCACACATATGGCGCCGCAAGCAAGACATAGGAAAACGATGGAAAACACGTGCCTTGCGTAAGACCCTACACTAAGACTGGAACTCTCGGAAAGACAAGCCAATACATTTTCGAACACCGCTCAGTGTTGGCCATGAACGTTCATGTCACCGCCTGCACATGTCCATCGCTTTTCCAGCAGAGCCAACCGTTGGGACAGCCGTCCTCTCAAGCTGAAATACTTGGAACATTGGCGGAAAGGACAACAGACCAGTTCACAAGAAGTAACATGCCTGTGACATGAAACTCGAACGAGCCCCCGGAACGAAGGGAGTTCCCGAAAGATACGTCCGGGAACGTCCGAGATCTGCTATCAGCGATGGAAATCCAGGATCTAGTAACAAGTGCATCGCTAGTAGTAACAAGTGCCTTACTAGTAGTAACAAGAAGCTACTAGAAACGAGTGCAAATCCAGGATCTACTATGCTCAGCCCCAGCTCTTGCGGTGCTTCGCCTATGCTACACCGCCCTGTCTGGACAAAGCCACTGCTCTCTCTATGGTGGCCTGGGAACAAACGGCTGAGTGAGACGAGCACGTTGGCGACGGGTTGGGGAACATCAAAGTTCATCCCTCAAAGTTTCTCACTTCGGTTCTTTTCGTCGGTTTTGATTACAGTATAACTATTATATATATATATAGAGTATACAGTATACATATAATTGTTTGTATACATATACATACATATACATATATATGCACAGAAGTATTTTCAATTGCGCAAGAGCAGTGTCGCACTCCCTGACTAGCCGCCAGCGGTTTTGATTTGGCTTCGAGTAGACACATGACAAGAACTACGGGCAAGTGTTCCAGTTTGTCAAGGAACTCTGTCAGATGGATGTATACAGAGGCCCGCCCCTCAAAATAGATATTATATAGGAACCATTTCCAAGATTTCATGTAATTAAAGTGGATTGAACATTGGGGTTGCTTAGTCCCAAGTTGAGCCCACCTGCTTCATTTGATCCTTCATCGGACAGAGGCTCTCTCTCTCTCTCTCTCATGTTTGGAAGATTGCTTCCTGGGTGTTCAGAGACTCACTTCGGGACACCTGCTTCTTTATCAAGCGAGCGGATTACCCAGGCTGGGCCAGGCTGGGTAATGCAACGAGGTCAATGCTCAACCATTCCCTGGTTTGCTTAATTTGATAATTGATTTCCCTATGGTTTCAGTAAATCCTCGTCTGGTGAAAATACTAAATTCTTTCCGGGTTCCTTGAGCAAATCCAAGATTCCCTGAAGGAGGGGTCTCCAGTTGCAAGCCGAAGCCCGAAGCCGTCGCTTCATCAGTGACCGGCCCAGGTGCGCTACACCGTCTCGGTCGTCCACCACGACGATCTGGTGACACGGGCGTCGTTGTACAACGCGAAGCGGCGCGGAGCAACGGTTTGGCAGATTTTGTTTTTTAATATTGACATAGCTCCAACACGTGACCGCTGATCCAGTTATCATATCTTGTCCAGAGGTCAATGGTCATCATATCATGACCCCATGACCACCATCCACCAAAAAGCGCCAGCTGATTTTGTGCATTTTGCTTTTTGGACGTTGCACACACACCCAAATTCCGATTGTTCCCTGACACACTTGAGGCTGTTGACGCTTGAAAGGGGCATCAGGATAAAAAAATATACAGAACAGTATCAAAAAGAAAAAATAACGGGATCAATAAAAGAAGAACAGGATCAAACAAAAATAATCCTGATTAGGTCCCCTGACCTGGTCCTTGGGTCCCCTGGTCCTTCGGTCCGCTGCTCCTTTGGTCCTCTGGTCCGCTGGTCCTTGGTCCTCTGGTCCGCTGGTCCCTGGTTCTTCGGTCTCCTGGTCCGCTGGTCTCTTGCTCTCCTACTCCGCTGGTCCCCTGCTCCTTCGGTCTCTTGGTCCAGTGGGCACCTAGACCTAGTCCCTTGGTCTCCTAGTCCGCTGGTCTTGTGGTCCTTCAGTCTTGGTAGCTCCCTAGTAGAGAGATAGCTTCCCAGTGGGGTGCTAGCTCGCTGGTAGGGTATTACCCAGTAGGGGGATAGCACTGTCTATACTTGATTTGCATTGCGGGGGAGGCGCGGCCCTTTCCGCACCGCCTCCCGCTTTTTTAATAGTTGCCACTACCCCTGCTATTACCAGTACCTCCAACACCAGTCTTACCACAGTTACCACAACTACTATCTTCTTTGCATTGGAAGTACATCTCACATCAACGGTTCCCGGACATCGTTCCATCGTTCCATCGTTCCATCTATGAACACACACACACATGCATATTTCTTTTTACATAACATATCATCATATCATCAAAAAATATGTCACATACATATGTATATGTTGCATCTCAAAGTAAACACACACACACACCCCAGCAAACGAACGAGGGAGTCCAAACAGAAGCACGGCGACCAAAACAATTGCTAGTAGTAGTGGTAGTCGTAGTCGTAGTAGTAGTCGTGCTCGTGCTCGTCGTCGTCGTGGTCGTGGTCGTGGTCGTGGTCGTGGCCGTGGCCGTGGTCGTGGTCGTGGTCGTGGTCGTGGTAGTCGTCGTAGTCGTCGTAGTAGTAGTAGTTAGTAGGTAGTAGTTAGTAGGTAGTAGGTAGTAGGTAGTAGGTAGTAGGTAGTAGGTACTAGGTAGTAGGTAGTAGGTAGTAGGTAGTAGGTAGTAGGTAGTAGGTAGTAGTAGTAGTAGTAGTAGTCGTAGTCGTAGTGGTAATAGTAGTAAGTAGTAAGTAGTAAGTAGTAAGTAGTAAGTAGTAAGTAGTAAGAGTAAGTAGTAAGTAGTAGTAAGTAGTAGTTAGTAGTAGTTAGTAATAGTTAGTAGTAGTTGGTTGGGCGGGCGTAGATGGCCGTACGTCTTCGGCCACTTTTTGTCATTTTGTCACCTTCTTGGTTGATTGTCAGCTAAGACGATGTTCTTCGGTGGATGATGCACATTGTGACAATGGGGTGGGGTGGGGGTGGGGTGGGTGGGCAAGATGACGTTCGTTGTTGATTGTAAACTCAGATGATGCATTGTGTTGAATAGGAGGTGGGGGGGTTAGACATGTTTCTAAAGAAGGTTGTTTATTAACTGCTTCTGTTCTCTGTGGTTGTGAAATGGCGCTGCTTTAGACTTGTCTCGAAGCAATGTTGTTGAGTTCTTTGTTTGTTTTGTTTCGTTCTTTGTCTTGTGTTCTTCTTTTGAGAATCAGTGGGTTTCGTGATCTGGATGAACTTCCGTCGGTTTTGAAACCTTGGTTTGTTGATCCTTTCTATTTGGATGGTTTCACGTCTGTTTGGAGTGAATTTTTCCAGGGGGATGAATTGGTTTCTGTCACACTTTGGGTTTCTTTACAACAGGAACGGTGGTCGTGTAGTGTGATTTTGACAGTTTGATCAGGTACGGGGAATTTCTTGGTTTGTTTGTGGGAAGCAGTGTACCAGAGCCTCTTCGAAACAAAAGCACTGCCTTTGAAAGTTCTTGGAGCCTTAATAGTGTTGAGCCAACGTTTTTTCTCCATGGCTTTCGTGGGTTGGCGGCAGCATTTGCAAGCGCACAGCTTCACCAATAAGCGAAGGTACCTTGATTTGCAAGGGTACGTGATTTTCGTTTTCAATTATTTTGCTCGGGCATATTTCACATTGTCCGATTGGCACCGCCACACGTCTAATGATCTCAGGCGTGTGACTCTTGGCAATACAGATGTATCTTCAACGATTGTTTCCGTCTCTGGGAGAGATTTTCCATTAGATATTCTTTGAAATGGTTTAAGAATGAAGAGACTTTGAAATGGTTTTAGTATGAAGACAGTTGCGTTGCCCGCTTGTATCATTCAAGTCAGGTTTTAGACAGTCCCGAGCTGAGTTCCACCGATGCGTTTGAGGTTACATGTCCTGGAAGTAGACCTCCCACCGAGAGTCTTCAACAAGTTTGAGCTTCTGCAATACTGGACAAAGTGAATCACACCAAGGGGGCATGATGTTGCTTTTTTGACGGAAACAAAGCTTGGGGTGCCGAATGCAAACGTCTAGGCTTGCAGTATAGACAGGTTTCTCATCAAGATCACGAGTTCTCCAAGCGAGTGGCCACGACTTCCCCAAATTTAAGCAATTGGGGTGGCACTCAGTGCATGGATCGTTGGTGGCTTTCGCTGAAAAGTTTTGTGCCTAGCTCTTGTAATTGGAAATCGAAGAATTCCGAAGAAGGAAGCATCTTGCACCCCAACATACAAACGTATGTTTTCCAATGGGTGTGGCGGGAGCATGTACTCAAGGGGCAGACTCAGAAACAGATTCTGGACATGCTGCCCGCACTCTTTTGATGTATCCGCTTGAGAAGAAAAAGGCTTTGGGAGATCCCGAAACCAATTAGTTTTTCGAGACACCAAAAAAGCCAAAAAACATGGTGATTCATTCAGCAGAGCATGCACTTGCTTTCACCAATAGAATTTTCAACATAAATCCGAAAAATACATGTCAATTCCCCATGCAATGGCCAGAAAACCATACGGCCATCTACACACGGCGCACCTAGTTGTTAGTAGTAGTTAGTAGTAGTTAGTAGTAGCAGTAGTAGTAGCAGTAGTAGTAGTAGTAGTAGGTAGTAGTAGGTAGTAGTAGGTAGCAGTAGTAGTAGGTAGTAGTAGTAGGTAGTAGTAGGTAGGTAGTAGTAGTAGTAGTAGTAGTAGTAGTAGTAGTAATAGTAGTAGTAGCAGTAGTAGTAGTAGCAGTAATAGTAGGTAGTAGTAGGTAGTAGGTAGGTAGTAGGTAGTAGTAGGTAGTAGGTAGTAGTAGGTAGTAGGTAGTAAGTAATAGGTAGTAGGTAGTAGGTAGTAGGTAGTAGGTAGTAGGTAGGTAGGTAGGTAGGTAGGTAGGTAGTAAGTAGTAAGTAGTAAATAGTAGGTAGTAGGTAGTAGGTAGTAGTAAGTAGCAGTAAGTAGTAGTTAGTAGTAGTTAGTTGTAGTTAGTAGTAGTCATTAGTAGTTAGTGGTAGTTAGTAGGTGGTGGTAGTAGTAAGTAGTAGTAGTAGTAGTAGTAGTAGTAGTAGTAGTAGTAGTAGTAGTAGTAGTAGTAGTAGTAGTAGTAGTAGTTAGTAGTAGTAGTTAGTAGTAGTAGTAGGTAGTAGTAGGTAGTAGTAGGTAGTAGTAGTAGGTAGTAGTAGGTAGTAGTAGTAGTAGTAGTAGTAGTAGTAGTAGTAGTAGTAGTAGTAGTAGTAGTGGTAGTAGTGCTAGTAGTGGTAGTAGTGGTAGTAGTAGTAGTAGGTAGTAGTAGGTAGTAGTAGTAGGTAGTAGTAGTAGTAGTAGTAGTAGTAGTAGTAGTAGTAGTAGTAGTAGCAAGTAGTAGTAGCAAGTAGTAGTAGCAAGTAGCAAGTAGTAAGTAGCAAGTAGCAAGTAGTAAGAAGTAGTAAGAAGTAGTAAGTAGTAGTAAGTAGTAGTAAGTAGTAATAAGTAGTAGTAGTAGTAGTAGTAGTAGTAGTAGTAGTAGTAGTAGTAGTAGTAGTAGTAGTAAGTAGTAGTTAGTAGTAGTTGTAGTAGGTAGTTAGTAGTAGTTGGTAGTTGTTAGTAGGTAGCAGTAGTAGTAGTAGTAGTAGTAGTAGTAGCAGTAGCAGTAGCAGTAGCAGTAGCAGTAGCAGTAGCAGTAGCAGTAGTAGTAGTAGTAGTAGTAGTAGTAGTGGGAGTAGGAGTAGGAGTAGCAGTAGCAGGAGCGGGAGCAGGAGTAGGAGTAGTAGTAGTAGTAGGAGTAGCAGTAGGAGTAGCAGTAGTAGTAGTAGCAGTAGTAGTAGTAGTAGGCGGCAATTCAAGAATTCTTTTAAAAACATGCTGGGTGAAAATACTTTTCACTAATCGCTTCCATGAAACTATGCATGGTGTGGAAATATTTTCGTTGAAACTGTTTTTTTCCTCCATTTTACCAATTTGGATCCAACATTAAAACTATGTGTATATATATATATATGTACAAACACACACACACACCCTTGCATCCCTCCCTCACCGGCATGAAGAGCTACGTTCTGATGAATTGACATTTGTACCTACCCAAAACGAAAGAAAAAACACCAAGGCTGATGAGTAACATTTGGAGAGAAGCTAAGCGCCTGATGGATGCGGATGAGTTTGAGGACCCGAAATCGCTTCGCGTGCCTCTTGAGGTCATGGACTTGATTCACTCGACCGGGGTCCGGGCAGATCCGCAATTTTTGCGAAGGGATCTGGTCGTACCGATCGTTTTGGATTTTTAAATACATACATACATACATACATAACATAACATAACATAACATAACATAACATACATGCACACATACACACATACACACACACATACATACATACATACATACATACATACATACATACATACATACATACATACATACATACATATGGCTCAAGCCATTTCAGCATCAAGCCGCGGAGTGCACCCCACTCCGGGCCGAGCTCACGGGCAATCTACTTCACTGAAGGTGACCCAGGCCAGAACGCAGAAGGCATCGTGATCCTCACCCTCATCCCTGGAGCCTTCACGATCCGAGGCATGACGCCCTCAAGCCCACAGCGGTGCAGGGGCTACCAAGTGTGCCAGTCCAGTGGATGCCACAACTGGATATGGCAAGATCGTGGCAGAGAAGGAACTGTTTGCAGGCAATGTGGCACCTCATGGCCGAAACCTCCACAGGGCTTTGCACCGAGATCTCCACCTCCAAGGCTTGCAAGGTGGAAGAACTCTCGCAGTGTCACGCCTCCTCCTGGCTTGTGGAAGAACAACAGCAGCCCTAGCAAAGTTCAGAAACTCACCGGAGAGTTGTTGGCTAAATTGGCATTTCTCCACCACCTCCAACTCCTGAGCCTGACCTGCAGGACGTGCTCAGAGACAATCTGGCGCAACTCCCTGCTCCAGTGAAGGTCACCAAACCTCAGCCGCCTACGGAGAAGGATGTTGCCAACAAGCTCAAGCAACAGGTCTCCAGCTTGAGGGACCTCTCCCACAGAAAGCAGCGCTTGCAGTCCAAGATCGATGCCACCAAGAAGGCCTTTCAGGATTTGTTGAATGAGATGAAGCTCATTCAGACCAAGATAGAACAAGAACAAGCCGAGCTCAACAACACCAGCACGGCCTACATGACCTTGGTCAGCAAACAGCCTGACCCCGTGCACCTAGTTGAAGATGCTGAAATGAAGGACCCAGTACCAGAAGCAGTAGCTGGTTTCATCAGCACTCTTGGAGTCAGTCTCACACAAGAGCAGCAGGACCAGCTCAAATCGATGCTCAAAAGGCCCACCGTCAACAATGAAGATGATGTCAAGCGTCGCAAGCTTGCAGAAGCAGAGAAAGAACAGTCATGTGGGTAACCAGGCCTTTAAGGCTTTGCAGCACGATTTGACTCACGCTTCCGCAGACACTTTGGGGTTTAAACCATGTACATACATGGACAGGGGCACAGGTCAACAGAGTTGCAGGGGAAATGACAACTTTCTTGACCTCACCGACCAATCCAGTTTGGGCTCAAGCTTCAGTGCACGAGCCCCAACGGTTTCCTATGGACCGTGGCGGTCCCAATCCTCAGTCAAAGTCAAAGGGGGTGGTGGCCCATTGCTGGAACCAGAGGCACCGAGCTCTTCTACCTCAGAGCCTGCCCCCAAGGGTGGTGCTGTGAACGGGACATCAGGTTTCCAAGCTCTGGCCCACATCCTCCAAGACATGGACAGTGAACCTGAGCTTCATGACAAAGTTCACGAACAGCTCCTCCACACAGGACACCAAGATCTTCAGGCATCATGCCGGGAGTACCTCCGTGTTCCAACACAGGACCATGGACAACAGCTCTTGGCTGATCTGCAATTGATGGAGAGATTGGTGTACAAACATCAAGGCCTACAAGGAGATCCACCTTTCATTCAGGGCTCAGAACCTCACTAGCATAGCTGCCAATGACGGCAACCTGTGCTTTGGCAACTCCGTCTTCAGATGCTGGAGCTGGTTGAGTTGCTTCACCATGGAACCCACTCAGACGTGGGGCAGGCTTCATCGGGCCTTCAGAGCCTTCCTTTCTTCTTCTAGGCCGTGCTTCTTGACTCAAATTCATGAACTTTTGGACGTTTGGGCCCACTTTGATGATCAACAACAAGCTGATGTTGGTGACTTTGTTGGACACCTCTACACCACAGCCGCTCCCCAGAACATTGGAGGGAAATTCTTCCACCTCAAGACCAATGGTGTCCTGGAAGAACGTGAACAAGTGCCGATCAACCTCATTTGCCCACCAGGAGAAGCCAGAGTCATTCTGGATGAGGTGGTCAATCAGTGGGCCAATGAAGAAGAAGGGCAATATTTGTATGGAGCCCCAAACTGCTTGATCTTCCACATTCAGCGGTTTCAATGTCAAGAGAACATCTGAACCAAACATCACAGACCTGTGGAGATCCCTACGGTCATCAACGTCCCCTTCTCCAATGACGGGGTCTCTGTCTCCAAAGCAGGATACAGGACAGTGGCCATGATCTTGCACCATGGCGAGACTCACCACAGTGGTCACTTCACTGCCATCCATGCTCTCGACAATGCTGTCTGGAGTGTCGATGAAAAAAAATTCCCCAACCGATTGGTGGACTCACCGAACAGCAAGAATCAGAAGTGCTACAATTCTGGTTAGTACATGATCCAATGCAAGATGATTCTGACGACGCCCTCATCCCAGAACCGGCCACCAAGAAGAGCAAAACTCACTATGAAGATGTTTTGATTTGCTTTGCCAATGTCACCTCCTTTGGCAAGAAGGTCCAGGATTGGGTGTGGTCAAAAGCCAACCACCTGATTTTCCTGCAGGAAAACACATCTGTCTGACACCAACATGCAGGAAGTCATGCAGTATTTCATCATCCGTGGCTGGCGCGCCTTGAGAGTTCCCGCCATGGCCACTGGAAGAGGTGGCAACACAGCGGGTTTTCTTTGTCTCCATCCACCTCATCACCATGTCCACAGCTTGCAGCACTTCTGCAAAGAAGGCAATGGCTGGATGGCGGTGGGATATCAGCGTGACGGTCTTCACATGGCCATCGTACAATTGTACTTGAGAACAGGAGAAAGCCTGCAATCACCCTTGAACGCGGAGATCCTCAGCAATCTTTTTGGCTTCTTAGAGATCCTCAAAGCTCCCTTCATCATTGGGGGTGACTGGCAAAACCCGCCTAGTGAGCTCGCTGCCATGGTTGTTCAAAGCAAGTTCAAAGCTCACATACTTAGTGGAGATGGGCCTACAACTTTACAGGGCAGTGACATTGACTACTTCCTTGTCTCCAACTCACTCCATGGCGCATTGGAGCTTGACCTCACGTGGGAAGTCCCGTGGAGACCACATTGTGCTTTGAACCTCAGGTATCACATGGAGCACGTCTCAATTCCGGTTCAACAGTTGCGGGCGTCCCCTCCCATTGGAAGAGCTCTCAACCCACATCACGGTTGGTCTGAATTTCAAGAACCCAACGGGCCCTTCCTCTCTATGTGGCTCAAGAAGCTTTGCAGTCCTACATATGCCTGCATGCGGCTCTCACTGAAGCTGGTCTCAAGCTCAACACCGACAAGACCGGATTCATCACAAGCTCCAAGGAGACAGCCACCGCTTTGAAGGCTATACTTCAACCAGGTGATCCTGAGCACTACGACGTCTTCAGAGACCTCGGCATCGACGCCACTGCAGCGAAGAGAAGAAGGGTGCCCCAGGTCAGAAAGAGGTTCACCAAAGGAAGGGCCAGAGCTGGCATCATGCACCGCCTCGGGCTGGACACATCCGTGCGATACAGGCTTCATCGTGGGGCGATCCATCCGGTTATGACCTGGGGGGCACAGGAACGGGCTAGCTCCACAACGTCGTCATCAACTACGGGTGATGGCAGCAAGAGGCCTCAAACTTCAGAAGTCAGGATCGGTGGACATTGTGTTCGACATGAACAAGAAGCATCCGGATCCAGGGGACGTCATCATCCTCCAGCATGTCCACACCATCTGGAAGTTGTATCACAGCTTTGATGACAGCAAGAGACACCTCTTCAACTCCAGCTGGAACCTTGCCCTTGCGCCTTTGATGAAGGCAGAGTATCCATGGCAGGTGGTCACAGGCCCACTCCAAGCTCTGCAAGCCTATTTGTTGGATCTTGGCTTTGACATACAGGATGGTCGTTGCCGGGTATGGGGCTATTCCGGACTGCAATCTATCCATGGAGATGCTATGGCCTGAGCTGGCAATGAAGTTGCAACAGGAGTTCAAATGGCAACGCCTCATCCGGTTGACCAAGTACAATGGCTGTGAACACTTGGAACAACCCTTGGATTGGACCATGAGCCACAAAATACACCGCGCCGCAAGTGACCGACTTGCTTGCGCTTTGAGATCTTTCCATCAAGGCACTCTTCATGGTTTCAAGGGACAATGTCCACTTGACGGTGTCGAGCTCTCCACGGTCCATCTCATTTGGGAATGTTCGTACTGGCAGGGTCGTGTCAAAGACATTCCGGACGAATGGAAAGATCGCATCAGCCAGAACATTGAGCCTGAGATTTGGAACAGAGGTCTCTCTCAGCTCCCTTTTCGAGAGCGTCATGGAGGACCTTCCACCTTCATCGGCACTGGCAAGTGGCACAGTTTGCAACCATGCCACATCGATCACGGCCATGCCTGTTGCCTTGACATTGCGGCCACTTGTGCGGACATTCGTCACCAGCAATACATTTTTGCTATTGGGATCTTTGAGATTGCCACCAAAGAATGCATTGCATCCATCTCAGGCATTTGCCCTGGCGAAGCCACCAGAACCAGAGCCACGTTCTTTGCCCTCAAGCAACTGGCAATGCACTTATTGGACGCCACTCATGTGGGCATTTCCAACCTTCAAGTCTGGAAAGCATGGACACCTCATGTGGCTTTGGAACGGTGCCCTGACCTTTACCATGGACTGGAGTTCGAGGACTTTGATCAGGTTCGGCCGTTGTTGTTCCTCTCCCACTTGCAGCAGGAGGAGGGCGTGAAAACAAGAAAGCAACTCCAGAAATCCATCAAGCGCATTGCACAAGAGCGGGCAAAAGCTGAAGCTCCTAAGGACTTCCTGTCGTACCAAAAGGCCATTGATGAGGACCTTGCGGACATCCTGACTGTTGCTGCAGAGAGAGTTGATCGGATTCTCCGAGATCAGGATCACTTCCTGAGAAAGCCCACTCAAATCACACAAGAGGTCAAAACACCGCTCCTACAACAAAAAAAGGAGCTGATTGCAGCTTTGCTTCGAGATCCCGAAAGAGGAGGGCACCAATGGGAGGTCCACCGTTCAGGGGCCATTTGCTGCCGATGCAAAACCAGGATCCACTCCAAGAGCATGATCCAAGAGATCAAGACGGCCATGGGCTCGGACTGCCAAAATCCGACCCAACAGAAGATCACCAGAACTCCCCGAATGGAGGTGATCAAGCAGCTCATCAGGACAAGCCCCAGACAGGAGTGCACTTTTTGCGCTTAGACAAAGCGTACTTACCCTGTGACCTTTGCAAAAGCTACATTTTAGCAAGGTCGAATGAACAGACCTTTGAGGAGTTTGTTGGACAGGTTTGCAACAGCGGACCGCTTCCGCCTTCGATGTGGGATGGGCACAGTTCGCACACCATGCAGCGACAAGGCCAGTCAGCCGAGTGTTCGAGGTGCGGTGCCCGCAACAAGATCGTCCAGGAGAAAGTACTCCTCAACAAAAGGCTCAAAAGAGCCTTGCCCTTCCAGGTCACAGGACCTGAGAAAGATGTTCGCATGAGCACATGGTTGCACGGAAAAGAACCGTGAAAAACACATACATACATACATACATACATACATACATACATACATACATACATACATACACACATACATATGTATATATACGTAAACAGATAAAGATAGACACAGACATAGACATAGACATAGATATGTTTGTAGATCACGTTTGCTTGGAATTGAGGCATGCGGCATCGGCCCCACAAACAGAAAGGAGGTGGAGACTCATGACCTGTGTGAACAAGATCTGTCATTCTGTGATGCTCCAACCTTTGCTGCAATTAAACACTTGGGGCAAATTGGGAGCCCCCTGAAGGGGGTGCTTCGAAGCTTGAAACCCAGTGTCCCAAAAAGATTTAATCTGGACTCCCACATCTAATGCCTGTCCCACGATGTTGAGACCCCAATCACCACACGCAAGTATGTCCTGGGAGGACTGTGACAAGTATGGCCTGGTTCATCGATATCAACATGAAATCAAGGTCGATCTCAAGGATGATCTTTACGTCGCAGGCAGGGCCATGTGACATGTGTCGAGGATCACATCTTTCCCATATGGAGAACGCAAAGACACGAATGCCTGGAGGATGGGCTTGGAGCTAGAGGATGGGTTCGTGTTTGCTCGGAGTTTATTCCCAGTAGAGATTTTCGGTTGCCAACCAAGATCATCTAGTCATGCGTTGTAGCACTGTTTGGACCGGGGTTGAGCAAAATCTGCAGCCGCTACATGAACTGCTCGAAACAAAACGCACAAAGTGTTCCAGGCTATGATCCAGACTTCAAGGCGTGTCTAAACAGATCAACAGTACTGGATATCTATCATCCATGGCAAGCTGTGCTATTTATAGCTATTTATTTCTTTTTCGGTTTTGACTGCCGCGCGGGACCCCAAATCCATCGATTGGATTTTGATTCGATCTGCATGATGTTCTGATTATTTTTGATTCGTTGATTTGTTCAACTGCTTGTCGCAACCGCACCAATTGAACCGTTGCAACTTGATCCGGCAGTCAGTTGGGAAAAAGCTCAGTATCCCCTTCCATGAGTCAGGTTTGGAGAGAATCAGCACGCAGTTCGAGAGTCAGCAAGTAGGTTGTTCCTTGCCTTGCAGCTTCGAAGATCTATTCTCTGGTTTTCCATGCTGCCGAAAACCAAGATCCTGTTCTCCCCGAGCCGCCCGCGCGTCCTGGTGAGGCAAAGTGATGTATGTCTACAAGCTGGGGTATCCCAAAGGTCAAGACCCAATCACCTACAAGGCTGTGACGAAGGATGCTTGGTTTTCACTCCCTGAAACAATCATGGAAGTGGAAAATAGGCCCCTGGAAGACCATATTCCTCTACAAACAGGTGGTTTTCCACTTCGATGATTAATGACTCGCAGGGTCACGTTGATGGGCAGAAGCATGACTTCGCCTGCCCGCCCGTGCGTTTGGAACATCCTACCACAGTGAAAACGCTTTGGTTTGTGAACCCTGAAAAACAATCCGGGGACGACACAGAGAGAGTGGAGGGCACACACCCTTGGTAAGACCTCCAATCAATTGTCCCGAACAAAGTCCTATTCTGCAACTCTCCATTCTTCTGAAACTTTTCTTCCCCAACTATTTAGTACTCTTCTACACGTACTCTTCAGGAAGTATTTTGCGCTCTTCAGAAACTATTTCGCGATCTTCAGAAGCTATTTCGTGATCTTCAGAAACTATTTCGCGATCTCCGGAAACTATTCCTCATTCTTCAGAAACTATTTTACGATCTTCAGAAACTATTTTGCGATCTCCAGAAACTATACCTCATTCTTCAGAAACTATTTTGCGATCTTCAGACACTATTTGGGGATCTTCAAGAACTATTTCGCGATCTTCAGAAGCTCATTGGCATGCTTCAGAAAGTATTCTTGAGAACTTGTAGCCAAATTCCATGAAGGAGCACTGGGTGGGTAGGCTGAGGGGGGTGGGTGGTTGAGTTATTGACGTACCTTGTGACGGCTACGCCATTTTGCGATCTGCAAAAACATCTTCGTGTAGGTTTGATGTTGCTCTTCGACTCTTCGTAGTTTCCGAACATTAGTTTCTGAAGAAAACCATCAAGCTTCTGAAGATTAGTATCGGAAACACAGTTTCCGAAGAAACCCTTAAAGTTTCCGAAGATCACCTTTAATAGTTTCCACAGAACACTGTCCGAAGAAAACCGGAAAGTTTCCGAAGAAAGCCGTTTAGTTTCTGAAAAACCTGTCCGAAGAAAACCGTAAAGTGTCCCCGAATAAAACTTCGACCCAATTGTCCCAAGACGCATGAAATCACACCCGAGGTGAAGGAACATTTTGTTTCATTGAAAGGATGTCAGATTCTAGAGCCCACCAGAGTCGGGCGAGCAAACGTGGTCTTTGACCAGTGACCCCCCCGCGAATCTTCCGAGGACGGCACCATGGCACGCTTGCGGTGCGCCTCCTTCTCTCGTGTTTCGGCCAAGAGAGGGGTCCGACTGAGCGGATAGTTCAGATGGTCGCAGATGGATGCGCATTTGAGATGCAGCATTTGGGAGAAGACCTCCTTCAAGGGCCAACTTTGATTCTTTTGCCCTTCCCAAGAATACTCTGCCAACTTTTGAGGATACCCATTCCTGTGCTCCATCCATGTACATTCTCAGTTGTACTATGATACGCCGATGAGAATTGGCACTGGCCTCTCTCCTAGTGGTTTTGTACTCACTGCCCTTTTTTCGCCATCGCATGCAGTGGGAATAGCCCTTGAATATTGGCCAAATTCAGCCGGCATCGTTAATTCACACTATGCTGGGCTAGGAAACAGTTTCTGTCCCCATGGTTTGGAGTTGGTGCAGAGCTGTTCATCAACAGAAAGGGGGAAGCCGGGAAAGCGTGTCCTGAAACTGATCAAGTTGAACTTGTGCAGGTACTTGAGCCTTTTTGTTGCAAGTGAATCAAATCACCTGGAAACAGTGACCACCTCGAAACGGTTTTCAAGAACGAGACAGCCCAAAGCAAATCGGCACACGGTGCATTCCAGACGTTCGAGCTGAAGAAGAGTCACTGCGATCGTTCCCATTCACTGCGATGGTTCATAAAACACGGTGAATCGTTCCTGGCCATCGGACAGTGTTTTCTCCACGTGTTTTTGTGCCACTCCTCATGAAAGCCTCATGGCAATGCCACTCCGAAGTCCAGTGGAGTGCCCAGCAACCCTGCGTCCTCATCTTGGTACCTGCTTGGGACGATGCACAAGCCATGAGGCTCATCTTTGACGGACCATCTGTGCAACCACTACATTGCTTGCACTGGAGAGGCACTGCAGACTCTCAGTACTTCAAGCTTTGCAAGTGAAAATGAACGCATTCGCTGAGCCGAGCTGAAAACAGAGCAGACTATATGGAGTTCTTCCAAAGAATAAAGTCCTTTTTGCATTAAACATGGTGATTTGGCTTGGGCTTTGGATGGCATTGGGTCTTCCTTAACCATTTCAATGAAGTGGGGCTTTTAGAGTTGACCAGACAGCCGACTACTTCCAATCTAACATAGCTGCGCAGAGGGTTTGAGAGCTTTCCTTTGAGGTCGCTTGTGTTTCTTTGGGGCTCTTAGGAAGGCAGAAGGACGGCGAGACAATCGCATTCCCACAGGTGGCGGCGCAGCTTAGTGGGACTTCCCCAGAGCACTTTAAGCCCTGGTTGGAGGAGCGTGGTCATAGATTGGGCTGAAATGTCTTCAAACTCTCGACACGGATCTCTACTAGGTCACAGGGCAGCTGTCGTTTATCTTTTTTTTGGGGGGAGTACTTTAAGACACACCAGATGTTAGTTGATAGACCTGCAACAGTCTCTTGAAGCTTTGCCAAGTATTCTTGAAGAGATCGCTTGGACACATGCTTTCACTCTTTGTGGTGCAGGCTACAACAATTATGACACGAAGAAATGTCTTGCTTTTGCTACTTTGCAATCACAACAGAGCCAAAGAAGCACTCTTCTGACGAGACTTCAGCATCTCATCTTGAACAGGAGACATTCTCTGGCCAGCCAATTGGGACATCCGACTGCACGAAGTTTTGTGAGGACCGAGAAAACACCGAGTCAGGAGGGCCAAGGCGGCCAAGGTGTTGGTTTGTGATTCTTTGTGTGTGTCCAACCGGTCGAATCTTTTCCAAGGCAGACCGCTTGTGTTAGCGAGTCCATGCGAGTCCTGCGTTGGCCATGTCCAGATCCCTACTGAGACCCCCACTCAGACACCCTTTTTCCACCTTTCACTTTGGGGAGCCCTGCGGAGCACTGAAGCCCTGTTCAGCCAGGACATACGTTTCTCGTGTGCCATTCAGCCGTCCAAGCCGGCCATAGGCTGCCCTGTAACGCTCCCAACGTTGCTCAAGCCAACGACTGTGCGATAGCCAAAATGCTCGAATCGTTGCGAAGGATTGACGAAGAGGGCGTGGCTTTGGCGTGGATGTTTCTCAACAGGTTGACAGCGCGATTGGGTACCCGAGCTGGACATCTTGAGTGTTTCCTTAATAAGCTGAGCCATGAAAATCCCAGCATCATCCTTTGGATTTTTCACAGAAAGACTAGCCATGGGTGGATCATCTCTGCCACATTCTGGCCGCACTGTCGGTGGCTCACAGATTAGGCACGGCAAATGTTCTGAGAGGACAACGCTCAGTGACCGAAGAATAATCCATCAACCCAACCACCGGTGAATTGTGGAGGGGGGCATTTGTCCTGTACACGCAGTGAAAGATAGTGAAACCATTGGAACACCCATGAAGCCCATCCATCATTGCTAAAAATGATCAATCTCCTTCGCAGGGAGGGTTTTCCCTGGTCAATTAGCCAACTGGAGTCAACTTCAGAATTCTGTGCAACTGGATTCAACTTGGGCTCAAAACCGCTCAACTCGGGCTCCGAGAGTCGGAGATCGAAGCACTTGCAGACCAGCGATCCCAGCCATCCCCATCGCGCGCGGACACTGCACCGATGGCATGGAGGGAGCTCGGGAGCCCCAAAGGAGGGAGCGCGCAGAGCCGCGCTGGTCGCAAAGGTTTGGTCGCATCCCCAGGTCCTGTGAACCTTTTCGCAAAGGGAGAAATGATGAGAAATGGAAACCGGAACCCTGGTCACCACTGGTCACCACTGGTCACCACTGGTCACCATGGTGCGCAAGACCATGCGCAAGACCAACACCACGCAAACGAGTTTTTGCACGGTCACGACCTTGCGAGTCCCTCACGACGTGCACGGCGATGGATCATTATTTTTTGAGCGATCGGAGTCCATTCTGAGGATGGATGTTTGATGAGTATATATGATGATTTGTTTCTCACGTGAGCAACCACTTTTATTTAGGCTTTACTAAAGTAGTCTACGGCATGCTCTATTGCTTGTCTATCATCAGTATTCGCTTGTGAACGAGATACGGCCCCCACATAAATGAGATACGTTTGCTTGATGGCGCTAAAGTAGTCTGAACGAGATAGTGTGATTTGCTACTAAAGCAGTCTGAACACGTCTGAACGAGATACTTGACATGACCTCCAACTTAATCAGTGTCTAAACGAGATAGGGCCCCACACAATAGATAGTGTGTTTGAGTTTAGTACCAAATGAATGCCGCCGCACACGTGAGAAAAGAATCATTTTTTACTCAATCCACACCCTGCGAAGGTTTGTCAAACATGTGGACCCACCCATGTCTTTCTTTTTCAAAGTCCTTCGTTTTTAAAGTGAGTCTGAGGCCTTCAAGGACCCCTAGAAAGGCCCCACGTTTTGCCGGGTCTTTCTTCACTACTGGTACCCCGGACACAAGTGCACAATAGCACACACACGTATATTACAGTGTCTATTGTGGTTGTGGATCAACAGACAGGACCTATGAAATGACAGTGTTGGCCCGTTTTTCCGAGAGATCCAGACTCTTCGCCAACAGCTGTTCAACTGATGCACGCACGAACATGGGCTTTTTATAGGCACATAATCAGAGGATCCTTGTGCCGCGCTGTTGGTCCAGTACCTATAAAAAGCTAGGGCGCAGCGAGTGTAGCGGTTTTGCGAGGGATGTTCGAAGCCTTCGCGGTTGCTGGTGTGATTCTGCGTGGACGTCCAGCATCACAGTACGTTTGAGGTGAAGGAACTACCTCAAGTGGATGGAAGAAGACTAGTGACCACACGACATCCATGTACCCTCGGTCATGTCAACACTTCCTTCTTGTGCGTGCCATAAAGACCATCCATCCGTCCGTCCATCCATCATCACTCTTTGACCACCACACAAAAGACTTGGATGTCTTTCGGATACCCATCCTCTCGGCTTTTATATGGTGGTGATCTCGATGGATGGAGTCAGTGCGTTCTCGAAGCTGCCGTGATATCGAGCATTTTCCAAAGCTAGCAGATCCCACCATCGCCAGAGTGCAAGACACCCAGCAATCAGGTGTGCAAAACACAAAAACGATGCTGCTTTATCGTGCACCGCCAAAAAGACAAAACAAAGGCTGTTCCACCCACCAGGAAAGACATGATTAAGACATTTAATAGAAATTGAACGGTTCCAAGCTCATTAGTCATTTCATCCTTTATCTTCTCATCTAGTTCTCCTCCGGTCTTCAGAACCGAAACCGAGGCCCTGGAGGCGCAGAAGCGCGCCGCGCTCCTGGCCGTGTCGCCCATTTGCGCCCTGATCCCCGCGGCCGTGCTGACGCTCGTGGCGGTCGGGGACCGTGGTCGAAAACGACAGGGGACACCGAAACGACGGGTGGACGTTCCGGATAGGAGGTTCCTAGTAGCTTCTTGCTCCGATGCCAGGAGCGCCGTTCGTAGCGTCCGATCGCTCCTAGTAGGCCAGGAGCCCCGTTCATAGCTTCTTGTTCCTAGAGTTGGTTGGTGGGAATTCTCAAAAAGGGTAGAGTACGCACATTTCGGATATTTTCTTCAAGACACCCCATGGGCTGATGATTGTCGTGAGTCTGCAAGTCTGCAAGTCTTTTGGAGATGTCTTTCTTTTCAAAATTAGTGAGGAAAACTGGGCCATCGGAAGTGCAAGGAAAGCCCTCGCAAAGGGATTTCTATTTTCACGGTGAGCTCGTGTGCTCGTGTCGCATTTCCTGAAATGGTCTTCAGATTCTCCAGCCTTGGTGGAGCACCCTGCAAAACGCTCGGAACCCTGGACTACTGCGGACACCTGGGAGGCTGCTGGAGGGGCCTCTGCAGTCGGAAGAAACAGTCATATTCCCAGGGCAAGAACATGTTCACGGTCAATGCAGATTGGTTCGATGCCCCTGGCTCTGGCAACGTTTGTGTCGTCGCAAGGTAGTGGATCAAAACAACACATTTTCAACATGTTCGTGACAAGTAGCAGTCAATATTCTAGCAGAATGGCGCTGCCTAGAAAAGAGACATTGTTTTTTTGGAAGAATGTGGAACTATCTCCGTGAATGAAAAAGAATCACCTGGACAAACAGGTGCCCTAATTCCTAAGATCATAACAACGGATTCTCCTATCTCCCTCGAGCTAGAGATTTGTCCACGTCCCTAAGATGGTCCACATACTAAGGCCCGAAGAGGTTCTCAAATTGTTTGACTGGTTGGGCTTCCACTCCAAAGGTATTTGAGCCATCTTGAGCCTTTGAGTCCCAATCATAAATCCCAGCCCCAGCCATTCGGGACCCCGGTCACACGAAAACACAAAGCAGGCTTTTTGGACGGTTCCTACATTATATATATATATAGGTGGCTTTCTTTCTTGTGTTCATTTTCATTCTGGTCACTGGTCACTAGGCCTTTTTCCGTTTACTTAATGGTGACAAGCGCGACCTTGTACTTCAGGTGCAACTAGGGGCAACCAACCGTCGCTGTAGTCAAAGACATGTGACATATTACAGTGCTCAAAGTGGATGAAACGGCCGTCAAATGCTCACTGGCAGAAGTGCAACAATAGACCCAGTCATGCAACCTTTTAAGGCATGCGTCTTTTGTTGCATGACTGACACACTCCCGAACACGTCGCGCATCCCGCTTCGAGGTCACCTACTACCCCACCAACGTCACCCAAATCACTGTGACGTCCGGGGCCTCGGAGCCCGGGTGCATCGGAGACTGAACGCTGGGGGCTGTTGGAGCTCATCCGACGTCGGTCGCTGAACGAAAGGAAAGGAAAGCCTTGTTACTAGTAGCTTCTTGTTACTAGTGGTAAGGCCAGGAACTACTAGGAGCTTCTTGCCCCTATATAGGCCCCTAGTAGCGATGCCCTTTGTTCCTAGTAGCTTCTCAGCACAGACACGGACGGTATGAATGGGCAATGACACTAGCAATGACACATCATCATTGACTATTTGCCAGGCATTTTTTTTCCTTTACTACACTTTTGTTGCTTTTGCAGTTCACAAAGGACAGACCTTTAAGTTCAGCAGTTGAAACGATAGAAACACCTCAGGGTTCTGTTGTGGATTCCGTGACTTCCGAGAAGAAACACATCCAGCTGTTTGTTGTCTTTACAATTCTACTCAGAGGACAAGTGGACCAACTTTCAGAGTTCCAAGCTTCAAGCGCTCAGATTCCTCAGAACTTCTTGGGCCAAGCAAAGATGGAAACTGCACATGACCACAACATGTTTTTTCTTTGTTTTCGGGTATCTCCCATACAGTTTTTTTTTTGTTTTTTTCCTGACACTCGACACTGAGCCTATCTCTGCGGTCGTCCTTTGTTATTTTTTTGTTTCTCGGTTTTTCCGCCCACGGTTTGCGCCAGGATCAGTTCCGAGATCTCGCTGTGGGGCCACCATGGCTGCCGTTTAAATGAGACTTGGTGGGGCCCCCGACTTGGCGCGATGGGAGACGTCCGACGGGGGGAGACGGCATTCTTCGTCGGACGCCGACTGAGAAGGACAAAGGCGAGGGCAGCCAATGGTTGTTCTTGTTGGGTGGTGAGAAATGAAATGAAGCCATCCGAGTGAAGCAGTGTTGTTTCGAAGTGCAATGAAGTGGGAGTGAAAAAAGTATTCCACCGCTTCGCGGTCGAAGCCGCCACAGAGACTGTGGGGTCTGTCTCGGTCTGTCTCGGTCCTTCCGTCCGGTCCGGTCTGTCACGGTCGGTCTCCACAGAGGCGAGCATACAGGATGTCAATAGTGCAGTCTCACTCGGTCAGAACCACCGACATCACCGATGCCCTGCCGTCCGATTTCCAAAAGTGTCAAAGCCACGAGCAAAACGGTCGAGCAAAAAGCCAAAGGCTTAAGCTATGCTATCTAGCAACTCTAGCGGAGTACGCGAACCGACACAACGCCTCAGCACTTGCGGTGCGGGTGGATTTCCCTCCTGCAGAGGACCACAGGTTTGGGTATTAGGAAAATCGTCGAAGCCACGGGCCAAATGTTCAGGGTCCAGTTTGCTTGCGTTATAGATCAGCCCACATGGCTCTGACTTCCCGGAGTCAGGTGAAATGCATTTCACCATGCTCAGATTCTACAAGTT